AGGACAATATAAGCCCTGTTCTCAATATAAAGTTTGAACTCTCCATTGCTGACTTCCACACATAGAGCTATCTGAAGGGGGCTTCTAAATGCATTTCTCTGAACACACTTGGTAGTCTCCTCCCAATCTGGAACCCGGATAATGTACATTCAGTCAAACATGCTTTGAAGTCTCCTTCAGTGCTCAACAAAGGAAGATCAGGGAGAAGACGATGGAGGCATTGTGGGCAGCACATAAAGCCATATGCCTTGGCATTCCTTGCTCAAGCATAGTGTCTGAACATGGCTCTAGAATACAAGCAAGGGTCAGTTCAGCCTTCCCCAACCTGGTGCCCTCCAGATCTTGGAGGGTGTGAGGGGAAAACGCCTATCAGATCCAGCCAATATGGTTAATGGTCAGGGGTGGCTGGAGGTGTAATCCAAAAACATTTGGAAGGCACCTGCTTGAGTGCATGAATGTGCAATAAAAATTATATCTGGAGGACACACACACACCCCGATATGGTGGTGACAACTATTGTATTTATTGCAATTGGTTTCAGTATTTCTGTTATGTTTCTAAGTCACTTTGGGTCATTTTTATGAGTAAAACAACTAATAAATCAATAACAATATTTTCTTTTTAAAAACCAAAACATTCACATAATTAATAATTGTTTGACTAATTTCACATCTGCTTTCAGTCCGAAGATACTCAGTTTCAGAACTGACCAAAGCTATGGTGGGTGACAGACACTGATATCATTTTCTTCATAAAATGTATCTTGCTTTTATTCCATATAGATATCGTAAATTCCAAAGGGAAAGAAATGTTTGTGCTTTAAGGAAAGTTATAGACCAGCAATCTAGGTTAAATCTGCCTTAAAAGATAAGCAGGCATATGCAAGACATTTCAATTAATTCTCTTTAAGGGCTCTGTTCTGCAGTCTTTGTTTACACAGACATACCATAATTAATTACAAAAATAATTGGCATTAATGTACGTGTTGCTTGGTGAAAGAGAGCAATCAGTACAGGGTTCATGTTATACAAAAAATGAGAATAAACTCCTTCAGCTCTTTCAGTTAATCACTTCTATGTGGCAAATCATTGCTTATGAAGATATGCATTATATTTGATTCAATAGGTTTCTCTTAAAAACCTTTGGAAGAGGCAAAGATTAATTCACATACGCTGAAATTGCTCAGTGATCCATTACATATCTTAAGGCTGCAACGCTGCACATATAGAATTAAGCCCCACTGAAGTCAATGGGACTTGCCTCCGCGTAGAAATATCCAAAATATTCTGAAATTTCTAGAATGCCGTAGTTGAGCTTTCGTTAACCACTTTGTAGTAATTAATTCTCACGGCAGTAATATGCATCTTCACTTTCCTTTCACATAGCTTTCCTAAAAATGAAGGGGGTGGTATTTAACCAAGCTTTTATTAAAATTAATATCCCTAACTTATTCATGTCCATTAATTTCACTGAACTTTACTGTAAGACTCAGCTGAATACATCTGAAGTCTGTAGCAGCTATGGGGAAATCTCTACTTTTACAGCAGCTTACAAATCTAAGGATCTCAGACTGAATGTTTATGAGGAGGAACATGTGTGAATGTTTCAAATCTTTCCAGAAGTCCCATCTGTTCCTGTTCCTGGCCTTTCTTTGATTTATTTATAGCAATAATTTTAGATTTATCAGGTTAACCTCTGGATAACCGCCTAAAACAACCCTTAACTATGCGGCTTTTTAAAGTACTCTGTATAAAGATGCAATGGATTTAAATACTGTCATTTTCCTGATATGCCTTTTAAAATTCTTCTGCACCCCACAGACATAGGTAGGAAAACTGCTATAATTTTACAAAGAAAAAGAAAGCTCAGCCATCACCATCATTATTCGCAGGATGGCAAGATGCAATTTATTTTTAAAGGGGGAGACAATCTACAAATTCTCATTTAATTTTAATCTGGCATGTGTCTTAATTTACATACCAGAGCACACAGAGGAAGAAAGAATGGGGTTAGAAAATGAGGGAAAGGGTTGCAGATAGAACAATCTATCACGAGGTTACTTTTTTTAAAATGTCATATGTTTAACTCAAGGTATAAAGAAATTGTTTTAACTTTCTTGGAAAAGCCAAGCAAACAAGGCATAATTCAGCCCCCCATTCTTATGAGAAATATAACCGCTGAGTTCAGCACCACTGAGCCTATATTTAAACTGCCGCCACCTCTGAATTCAGTGCACTAAATACGACGTTGGTCACAATCTATCCTGTATCTATCTTCTTGTTTCTTATGAAATACTGCATTTTGGTGCATTTCTCCCCAAAACAGCTTCAAAATGACTGGGGGCGGGGGGAGAACAAGTTAGCTGCTTTTTAAGCCAGTAATGTAGAGCATTCCAAACTTTTCATGTTGGTGGCACACTTTTCGGACATGCATCATTTTGCGACACAGAAATTCAGTTTTACTAGCAAACTAGAGGTTAAACAAACTCCTTTCCAGTCCCAGGAGGAGCACGGGGAGCGTTCAAGTGACACACTTACACACTGCAGCTGACACTTACGTGTCACAACAGAGTTTAGAAAGCTCTGCAGTAATGTGTACATAGCTGCACTGCTATTACAAGCCACTGGGGGGCACTGAACCAAGCTGTGTCTGATTGGAGTCGGGAGTTTTCTGCTGCTGTTGGGGTTTTTTTCAAGAAAGTTGATAAAATTCTACCGACCCAGATCCTGCAATCATTACCTGAGGTTCCTTTTCATGTGCCTCCTCCAAGAGAGGTCCTGAGGGTGGCAACATGAGAACCGGACTTTTCTGTGGAAGCTCCTCGCTTGTGGAATGCTCTCCCCCAGAAAGATTCACCGGGTGAAAACATTTCTCTTTGACTAACATTCTATGTCATTTTAAATGTGTTTTTGAGGGGGGAGTTATTAGTTTTGTTTTGCTTTTTTTATGTATTTTGTGTTTCCATTTTGTATTGTTATGCCATGAACTGCCCTGTAATTTTGGGATGAAGGGCGGTACAGGCTGTGACCATTCGCACAGGGGTTCTGTCCCTGGACCCCACACACGTCAGCAGAGCACATATAAGCATACCCTGCCTGCATTCCACTCCACCCCACACCCATTCCACCCCACATTCTGCCCCATCCCTGTGGATGGCAGGGCACAGATATAGCTCTTGCCAAGGGCATAAGGCAGCCTAGGTATGCCTCTGGTCATGGGTTGGGTGAAAGGTTTTTGTTGCACTTACCTTATATTCAAAGTGGTCACAGGGTGCTTGTCAGCATTCCATTCTGCAAATCAGCTTTCTGGTGGTTTGCATTCTGCAGTCTTCCCAGGTACCCATGTTTCTTGAAAACTCCCATAATGTTCCTCTGCTAAGCTTTACCGTAAGTACAGGAAAGCAAAGAGACCGCCTGCTGTATGCCTAGCACCTGTTCTTTTTTCTTTTTTAGGCAAAGTGGTGTTGTTGTTTTTACTTTTAAAGTAAATGGTGCAGAAAGTTGTTTTTTTTAAAGGTTGAAGAACAAGAACCTCTTAAAAACAAAATCCATGAGTGCACCTATTTCATGTGCTTGATTGCTACTTTCTCTGCTTCCCACATTTAGGGAAAGCCACCAGGCGGTAACTCATTCCACAGGGCTTTCTCAGATCACTAAGCGAAGGCAGTCAGGGAGGCAGTGGAGTGCTGGAGAAATGTTTAATGGAAAGAAGAACACATCACTCATAGAAACCTCACAAAGACAAAACAACCACAGCCCTGCATCCACTAGGGCAGGCGTTCCCAAACTGTGGTCAGCAGTGTGATTGTGGCTTTGTTGTCAAAGGCAGGAGATGGCGCATCCATCACAAAGAACGTTCTTATTGATTTTTAATTGTATTTTTATTGCTTCCTTTATTTCATATATTGTATTTCATTGTATTATTTGAATTCTATGGAATTCTAGTGCTTGTGCACTAACTCAGTGTAGTCCTAAATCAGGGTGGGGACCTGAAATGGCAGACCTTGGGGTCTCAAATTTCAGTGCTGAAGGATGTGTGTGGTGTCCCATTAGTGTAGTGGTGGTGGAAATGCTCGGGGGCGGGGGGTTGTATTGTCAATGAAAGATGAATTACACTGAAACAATGCAGCTTTGAGAGACCAGGGTTGGGGAACATTTTTCTAAAAAGGGGAGGGAGGGTAATCTGTCAGATATTGCATGCATGTGATAGATGAGAGCAAAGTCAGAGGGGGGTCAGAGGCATCACCCCCGTTTTCTTCTGTCTGATGTCTGGATCATTTCAATGCGCTCTACATGGAGTTGCCTTTGAAGACAACTTGGAAACCTCCATTAGTCCAAAACGCAGCAGCCAGATTACTAGCTAGGGTTCCATTTAGAACCAATATATGGTCATACATTGGATACTGAACGCCTTGTGAGTCAGACGTTTTGGCTCCTGAACACCACAAACCCGGAAGTGAGCGTTCCAGTTTGCGAATGTTATTTGGAGGCCGAACGTCCGGCGTGGCTTCTGCGGCTTCCGATTGAGTGCAGGAAGTTCCTGCAGCCAATAGGAAGCTGCACCTTGGTTGTCGAATGTTTTCAGAAGTCGAACGGACTTCCAGAAAGGGTTCCGTTCAACAACCAAGGTACGACTGTATCATCTTTTTTTAAAGCAACTGCACAGGTTCTGGGCTCAATTCAAAGTGATAAGGTTAGTGTTTAAAACCCTAAATGACTTAGGCCCAAAATGTCTGAAAGTCCACCTCCCTCCCTACAGACCCTCTCAGGTGTTAAGATCATAGTTCTTATTTCAAATTTCACTGTTCTCGGGAATTAAAGAATTATAAGGAAAGATTGCATCACACAACACTTGCAACCAGAAATGTTCTCTTTAAAAGATTTGTGAACCAGCGTGGGGAAAGCTTTAAAAGGCAATGCTGAGAAGCCACTGTTGCACCAAAGTAAAAATAAGCTACCCTTTCCCACCCCCCAATCCCAATGATAAGAGTTTCATATTTTGGCAATATTAATGCAAAAGCATTTTGGCTGACAAATCTGTTACCTAATACTGTTAAATAATTTATGCATTTGGAAAATCATTTGTCCTTACAGTAAATTTGCAAAATAAAATATTAATCAAGTATATGATTCATTTTGACTCAGCTCTGACAATTTTAAAATGTATCAAATATCCCACTAAATTGTTTTGTTTCAAGAAAATCTGAAATCATAAGGGGTTTTTTTTGTTTTTGTTTTTTTTAAAAAAACCCACAGGTTGCTGCATTTATTTTTTCATTTTTGTTAAAGAGGGAAACAAGGATGTCTCAGCAGTTTAAACCTTGCACACGGAGGACTTTCAGACTATTTTTATCAGAAAAACGAAAATATTTTTGGAACAAGCATGTAACGGCTTTCCCAATCTAACACAAAACCACACTGAAAAGCAACAGACAATAATAACAGACAGTAATAATGTTATTGAGGTAGACGTGTAGCAAATGAATGTGTATATTGCTGACCTTGGAAGCAGAAAGAAAGCAGCCTGTTTATGATCACAAATGTTTTGACTGGATCCAAACGGCTCCTTCCCACCCTCCCCACAGCCCCATTATCCTGTTCTGCTCAGTCAGATGATTTGATTTAGAACATTACTAGAGAACCTGATACCAGATGTTCTCCCAGTTCTTTCAAATCAATATGTGTAATTCAGTTCCATCTCTTCCCTTGGTTTTCTTGCTCCTTTGACTCGCTGGTTCACACACCTGTACACTTCTTAAGCCAGCTCGATCACTTGACCTGTCTTTTCACCAACAATGTATAGGCCCTTCTGTGTGCAGCTTTTCTGACATTTCAGTCATAGAATCATCGGGATTCAAGATGACCTTAACAGATTGGAGAACTGGGCAAAAACTAAACAAAGTGCATTTCAATAGGGGCAAATGTAAGGTTCTACACTTAGGTAGGAATAACCACAGGCACAAATATAAGATGGGGGACACCTGGATTGCCAGTAGTACATGTGAAAAGGATCTTGGGGTCTTAGTTGACCCCAAGCTCAATATGTGTCAACAGTGTGATGCAGCCACAAAAAAGCTAATGCTACTCTAGACTGCACCAATTATTATTATTACAACAATACAATACAAATACCTTTATTGGCATTACAAGTTAAGACATTTCAAATCTGTGGGATAAATTTAAAAGGGACAGGAGTGAGGCTGTTGAGGGTCACAAGGCACTCGATTGTTCTGCTTCACCCTGTCTATTCCCTATTGCTTAGTAAGGTTATGAACATAAGCTCTGCAATTCAGTGTGAGGAAAGGAATAGTGAACTCCAGGCATCTGTACACTGGGAATGAGGGAAATAAATGCCTAGTTTGTATTCTGTTGACACAGGAGATGGAATACTTGCAGCCAGAATCTTCTTCCTATTCCTGAGAAACTATAAGTACAGTAGTAAATGTCCAAGTAGTAACCTGAAAACCCATCCGCTGAGACTCACTAGAGCCATCTTGTGAGAATGACAGCAATTTTTCTACTTGGGTAGCTGAAGGCTCAATGAATCTCAAATAATAATTTGCGGGCAACTAAATGTTTCAACAAGTGCTGGTTTAAGAAATCTGTTGGTTGGCATCCATCTGCATCAAGAAACAACAGAGAACACCTTTGAGGGTGAAGTCAAACTGTTGGAAGGTTACAGCACCCGATGTGGTTGCTGTATGAGATACGTAGATAGTCTCATTACATGATCTGTATTCAAGCGTTATCACCTAGGTTTCTCCTGGATTGAATTGCTACCTGGATGCTTCCCTTTTCTTATCGGACTTCCCTTTTCTTATCGGAATGAGACAATAAAATTCTTGCTAGCTTTCAGAATCCCAAGCCTTTGGGACATTTGCTTTAAATAGCATATTTGTGTGATAAAGGTGCATAAAAAAAAAAAAGCTCACCTGACTTGCATGATTAGTATATTATTACCTGCCCTTCACCCTAAGGTCCCATTAAAAAACAACATTAGGTAAAGGTAAAGGGACCCCTGACCATTAGGTCCAATTGTGGCCGACTCTGGGGTTGCGGCGCTCATCTCGCTTTATTGGCCGAGGGAGCCATTGTACAGCTTCCGGCCTATGTGGCCAACATGACTAAGCCGCTTCTGGCGAACCAGAGCAGCGCACGGAAACGCCATTTACCTTCCCACCGGAGCGGTACCTATTTATCTACTTGTAATTTGACATGCTTTCAAACTGCTAGGTTGGCAGGAGCAGGGACTGAGCAACGGGAGCTCACCCCGTCGCGGGGATTTGAACTGTCGACCTTTTGATCAGCAAGCCCTAGGCTCTGTGGTTTAACCCACAGCGCCACCCGCGTCCCTTAACATTAGAAACACTTTAAAACAACTCACAGGCCTGATCCTGACTATCCCCTTGCCTGCTTAGAAATATAATTTGCAGACTATGAGGAGGGAGCTAAACTCTGAAGAAGAGTGTTGTACTGCTAGTGATTCTCATTCATATCAATGTAACATGTAGCTCATTAAATACTTAACAGGGCTCCTCTTCTAGAAATGGAGGGAACCTGGTATAATCACATGGAGCAGAATGTGTCATAATACAGTGATTCCCAATTAGTGGTCCACAGACCCCAGGGGGTCCGTGTAACCTATCCAGGGGGCCCATGGCACATCCTTGTCATCTCTCTGGGACATCTAAAGAGAACGGTGTCTAAAAATGCACGAAACTGCAACCGGGTGTGCGTCTCGCACAAGACTGTAGCGCCCCAAAAGGCACCAGGACATGTTGGAGGGTATGGTGGCAACATTCATGCAACAATAACAAAAACCACAGAGATGTCAACATTTTCAAAAGTAGGGGGTTCATTGCTTGGCTTTTGAAAAACAGGGGGTCCACACAGTACTTAACTAATTGGGAACCACTGCTATAATGCATTCCTTAACATTTCAGTGTCCCCCAGACTACTGCTTTTTTCTTTTGTTTTTTGATAACACGCATTTACCTTTTCAACAAGGCACCCTATCCTACCAAACAACTCCTAGGAAGCAAAGTTGGGGGAGAGGAGTGTGTGGTTTAGCAGGGCCAGGTGACAAAAAAGGGGGACTGCCCGTGGCAAGCAGGAGCTGTTGTATTATGTGTTTGATTGGGTGTGCCCTTATGTATATGTGTGTGTGTACACACACACACACACACACACACACATAATGTGTGTATGTGCATACATCCAGTGCTTTTTTCGGGGGGGCGGGGTACGCAAGGGCGACAAATACCCCTAAACATTTTGTGAACCTTTGTACTTTTGTCCATTTACTGTATTTATTTTCCCCAATTTGAACTATAAAATGGTGATTTTCTTGAGTCAAAATGAGAGTGCCCCTAAACATTTTTAAGGTGGGGGAAGCACTGCATGTATCTATATGTGTAGCTACATACCCAGTATTGGATTTACGTATAAGCTAAACAAGCTATAGCTTAGGGCCCCACTCTCTTGGCCCCCCCCCCAATTTTTCACTATTACAGTAATATACTTCTTCCTAACTGTATTTCAGTTCAACAATTACTTTGATAAAATACGTATTTTGTTATGTGCAAATGGCTTTAGATACCTGTTAGGCCCATAAATGACCATATAGCATATATTCAACACAAAAAACCAGTGACAATTTGTTGTTGACAAAGGACAGCTGGACATATAAAGGGCCCCATTACCTTCAGCAGCTTAGGGCCTCATCAAACCTAAATCCGGCCCTGTGCATACCGCATGCACTGTGGGAGGGTGAGCACACAAATATGAAGCGTGCATGTGCGTGGAACCGCGTTTCCAGCTCTGCCTCACGAGCAAAGACACGCACCGTTTCTGTCACACGCGCTCACCGACACTCGCTCTCACGCACAACACACACACACACACACACACACCCCGCCCCTTTTCCTTCTAGCGCCGGCCCAACCCTCGCCCCCTTCCTCCTCCTCCTCCTGCAAACCCCGTGACGCCTCTCGAGACCCGCCCTGCGAGGCGGCAGAGGCGGCCGCCGAGGCAACAGAAGAAGCGGCAGCGTGACAGACCGCCGCCGGGTCGCTAGTCGTGCCCGCCCAGCGCCCGTTGGCGGGAGCTGCCCTCTCCGCAGCCTGGAGGAAGGCGCTCCCGCACCCCGCGACGAAGGAGAGGGATGGGCTCGACCGAGGAGCTGCTGCTCCCGCCGCCCGAATACGCCTTCGAGAGGGACTGGGAGCCGGCGCCATCGTTGGCGTCTCCGGGCGGGAGGGCAGTCGCCCGGCACAGGCGGAGGAGGCAGCACCGGGAGCAGCAGCAGCCGCCGCCGCCTAGGGAAGAAGAGGAGGAGGGCGAGGGCGAGGGCGAGGAGGAACAACTGCAGGTGAGCGGCTGCATCTCCGGGTGGCCAGGTGCGGGTTGTAAAATGCCTGTTCCCTTTTTTGAACCTCGACCAGGCAGGATCCGCCCCACCAGTTGCCCGGGAGAACGGTTGGGGCCGTTGCCTTCCGGGGGCTTCTTGCAGAAGCATCTGGTTTAATCGATTGTCGTTAGCAGGACCGTGCAGAAACCACACACACACCTTTTGGGTCCGATGCAGCCCGTGGCTCTTCTTGGGTCCTGGGAGCCAAGCCTGGTGGTGGGACCGGGACGTGGTTTTGTGAGGGGTGGGGCGCCGCACCTGTGCAGCGCTGGCAAAAGCCGGACAGTGCACGCGCAAAACGCGCGCACGGGAAAAGCGGAGGGGGGAGCGCCCCCCTCCCTCCATCCTTGCACTGTCTATAATATCGTGCCTGTGGCGCTTGCGCTCTGAAAATAAAAATTAAAAAGCGTGGCTGCTGTTGTGAAAGGAAGGAATCCATGGTAGGGTATCTTTGCATCCCCCCATCGGATAAGTTAGGAGCATGGTGATCGTTGGGGGGGGGGGGAGGAAGACACTGAACTTCCTGGAAGTGTGGGGGGGGGTGGAGTTCTGCTAACCTCCTTGAAAGTTTTCCTGATGATGTATTGGGAAAATACACCCCACAGCCATGTTTATGTGGTTATGCAAACTTTCCACACGAGTGTGATTCCCCCCCCCCCCCATTACTTGGGGGGAAGAGGATAAGAGCCCTTTATTAGTTTTCCCATGCCACATCCCCATACATTTAAAGCATAGTTTCCCCCAAAGAATCTTGGGAACTGTAGTTTGTGGCTCACAGAGCTACAATTCCCAACATGCTTAACACATCACAGTTTCCAGGATTCTTTAGGGAAAGTCATGCACTTCATATGTATGGTGTGGCTGTGAATGTGGTGAGGCAGGTTTTGTTGACTGGTCTTTAATGCTAATATGGTTTGTGATAGTTTGTGGGTCTTTCAGGTTGCTTTCCCTGAACTAGCAAAGGTGTCTGAACCCATGCACACAAATCACTCTCCTATAAACACAATCTTTGTGACTATAGAGCACTAAATAGTTAAATCCTCCATATTTTCAAAGAATGTGTGGAGTTACAACAATCATTGAGTTTGCAATAATGGAGTTAAGAAGAAGAAGAGGAGGCGTTTGGGTTTGATATCCCGCTTTATCACTACCAGAAGGAGTCTCAAAGCAGCTAACGTTCTTCTTTCCCTTCCTTCCCCACAACAAACACTCTGTGAGGTGAGTGGGGCTAAGAGACTTCAGAGAAGTGTGATTAGCCCAGAGTCACCCAGCAGCTGCATGTGGAGGAGCGGGGATGTGAACCCGGCTCACCAGATTACAAGTCCACCGCTCTTAACCACTATGGGGTGGTAGTTTAATCTGAATTTATTGAAATGGAATAGTAGGGTGTGGTCCAGTTTTTCTGTCTCCTTTTATGCCTGCACAGGTGTACAGATAGACATAGTAGTTGCAATAGTGCACCCAGTGCACTGCAATTTACCCAGTCTGGAAATACCTGAAGGATCACATAGCAGTGGAATAATTATAGGCTAGTATGCTATCCTTTGTTTATGTTTAGAGACTCTAGTCACAGACGCACCTCTTAGCATCATTCAGATTTCTTGGAAGAAAGGCAATACAAGATTCCAGGGAAAGAGTCTACAGTGATGTTTGTCTTGTTCAGAGGAATTGGGTTTATTCAGTGACATAAACCCGCTTTGTGTGTTAAGCTTCTCCACATGTCTCTTGAAGCACACATCTGCAATATGTGTCCAAGTGTATGTTCATAGGATGAATTCCAAATAATCAGGAGCCCTGATCAGATGAGTCCTTTCTTACATGTGTAAGGTTGTAGTTATGGGCACATGTAGCAGATATTTCAACATGCTAATGGGTGTGGACTGAGTCTGCCACTTCCCTGTTTTCATTGTACGTGCAGAGAAGAGCCCTAATGTATGAAGAGGGCTGTTCTTATGGAGGAACGAGAGATTCAAATTACAGTTCTGGTCAAAGCAGTAGTTTGGAAACAAACTACTGTTTTGGAAACAAACTAAATTTAAAATTTGTTTTTAAATGCATGGGTATGTTGTAGCTGGCATAATCTTAAAGGCATTCTTCATCACTGTGTAAGCAAGAACATGAGATGCCTGTTTAAAAATGGTGGCTTTTTACAAAGAGTAATTTTTGTAAGAACTTTTATAATCCTGTTTTTATCATGCCTGTCAGCTTTCACTTTATTAGCTTTTCTCTGTGCACCATTGTGTCCAAAGCATGAGCTCACAGTTCTTTCTAAACAGATAAAATGAGCACCTCTGGCTTGGAAGAACCTGTTCATTATAGAGACCTGCCAACATTCGACAAAGAGGTGTGCTCACTCACAAATTAACTGGAATTTTGCAGGTTCACTGTGCCATGGTATTGGTCATAAAATTTCCTTTTCTGAAAAACTTTTTGCAGAATTAGTCAGCCCCATTTTACTAGAGCCCTTAGCCTTTTTACCTAAATTTATGTACAGTATTTATTCTATCTGAAATATTTACTTGCTACCTTTCGGCCTCCAAGGTGGCTGCCAATAAATGAAAATTAACAAAAGGCAGCAAACAATTAATGGCCATTGCATATGAATTGTAGCCTTATTCAGGCATTTGGTTCTTGTTCACATGCTGGAAATCCTATACACCTAAAAGGCTGACCGCTTCAGACTGAACTGATCACACATCGGCCTGGGAACATGGCTGGCATGCGCATAAGTATCAAGGCTAGGGCTACCCCCATACATTCTCATTAGCCAGTGTAGCTAGTGTAAACTAATTTGTTATTTATTGTGACTTGCTCTGGGAAAGTACCTAACTTCAAGGCTGTTTCTGAAACACCATCTCCATTTCAAACCATATGAGAATTGAAGATGGTTCTTGCAGCTATGCAAAAGATACAGCGGTCACATTTCTTCTCCCCATCTTGATTTGAAGCCAAAGCCTTGGGGAACCAATACACTTTTTAAAAAAAATCTGAATAAATTCTGGCTTGGGAAATTTGTCCTTTATTGTCACTGTGAGAATCTTCTTCTAGGCTTTTTTGGGGCTCCCAAGATTTGAGCTGCTGGAGCTAGTCTATGAAGCAAGGCTATCTTGGTCCACATAGAAGGACACTACTTGTCAGTTTGCATGTGAGATGGCACAGCAGGTGCCTTGATAGTTGATATATGGAGGCATGTGGCATCAGCACATTTTTCCTAAAGTGTTTGAAGGGATGCCCCCTTACCATGCTGCAGGAAAAGAAGTATAGACTCTTGCAAATAATAATGAGAGTTGATCTTTGATCGAAATATAGCTCTGGTGGCTCAGTTATCACTCCAGGTTTCGCTTTGTTTGGATCTTTGTGCCAGGAACAAGAGTTCCCAAAATATACTGATGGAAAAGAGAACCTGCAACATCTCAGAGAGAACCTGGAGCCGAAGGGCTTCAAATTATTGTCAACCCAATGATGTGATGCAATATCCAGTTTTTAAGAAGCTTCTCAAGAGCTTGCAGTGCTGAAAAACATTAATTTAAAAACTTGGGAAATTGGTGGTTCAGAACATAAAACTGGTTCAGGAGCACCTCCTTCATGTCACAACTGATGTGGGATGTTTATGAAACATTAAGGATGTTTGTTATAACTTTTGTTATAACTTTAGCTCTGAAAAGATCTTGCCATGCTGATCAAAAGGCTAGAGAGCTTACCCTCAAGCTCTTCTGCTCCTAATGGGTTATATTCAGTGAAAATGTAAAGGTTCCTGAGACTTGCTTTTTGTAAAAGGTAAAAGGACCCCTGACCATTAGGTCCAGTCGCAGACGACTCTGGGGTTGCAGCGCTCATCTCACTTTATTGGCCGAGGGAGCCGGCGTATAGTTTCCGGGTCATGTGGCCAGCATGACTAAGCCGCTTCTGGCAAACCAGAGCAGCACATGGAAACGGCATTTACCTTCCTGCCGGAGCGGTACCTATTTATCTACTTGCACTTTGATGTGCTTTCAAACTGCTAGGTTGGCAGGAGCAGGGACCGAGCGACGGGAACTCACCCCATCACGGGGATTCGAACCGCCAACCTTCTGATCGGCAAGCCCTAGGCTCTGTGGTTTAGACCACAGTGCCCACCCACTTTTTGTACTCTGCAACTAAATATTGGAAAGTAGCTTCTTTACAAATTCTAAATTTACTAAATATTGGTAAGTTGCTTCTTTACAAAAAGAAGTTGTCTACTGTTGGCTAACTTTTGCAATACTTGCAACCAAGGCCTCATCTGTGGAATCAACCGTGAGATTTTCTGCTGTTCAGGAACAAGCTGTTGACAGTTAACATGCTTTCCTTTTTGTTCTCTCTTCCTGTCTTAGTGAGATGGTGGGACCCGCATTGTCTTCTAAAAGGGGAAACAAAACTTCTCTGTGTTTGCAGTTTTCTAGCAACTGAGAATAAGGTTATATTTTCAGGAGTGCTAAATACCTAATGAAATACTCCTAATCATCTTCAGAGTCGCAAGTGTTAGAGAAAGACTTGTAGTGATATAAATTAAAATTGTGATAACATTTCAAGAACAGCACAGTTGTCCATGGAAGTAGAGATAGGGAATCAGCACCAACCTTGTGAGAATGTAACTGATATTTCACAGATGCTTTCCACTAATAATTGTTAATTTAGGCATAACAAAAAATATAGCATCTGCGAGTCCATTTGGAATTAGCATAAATTTAATGGACAAATTTGTTGCCCATAGGCGAGTTTTAAGTTAAGAGGTCATTCTTATAAGATCTGCTTGTTCTTTGGATACTTTTACTATAGAGCGCTCTATCCCCTGGTCATGAAACAAAGTCTTTCACATACTTTTATATATCACTTGTAGGCTTTAGTGATATAGTTATGTTCCTGTGTGTGGGCTTCCCATAGGCATGTAGTTCGACTCTGTGAGAAGATGTTGGACGAAATGGATCTTTGACCAGATCCAGCAGGGCTCTTCTTGTATTCTTAAATAGTTATATGTTGTCTTCAGTGTGTAAGGGAAGGGTGGATCTTCAGAACATTGTCCATGAGTTATGTTTGGAGTGCCTACTGAAAATTTGCTGGGCTTTTGTGTAGAGGGCGGCCTTTCCTCATCACAACATCTGGTAACCACTTGGATTTCAGCATCTGACTCAGCTTCCTACTCTGCTGAAGATTTTCCCCACACTCAGCAGAAACTTGGAAAACACCTGCAGGTCCACTGGCTGCTTTGCAAGGGCAAGGCAGCCATAGCTTCTTTTACATCTGTGTTCTGAGCTACTTTAGGGCAAAAAAAAAAAAAGTGGGAAGAGACTAAAGGGTGGTTAAAAATAATGAGGACATAAGAAGCTGCCTTAGTATAAAACCATTAATGCATCTAGCTCAGTATTGTCTACACACTTCCCGATAGTGGCTCGGCAGGGTTTTAGACAAGGGAAATTCTCAGTCCTTCCTGGAGATTGAATCCGGGATCTTGGGCATGCCAAGCAAGTGGTCTACCTCTGAGCTATAGCTCTTCCTCCAAATGAAGGCTTAATATCCAAATCTCTGAATTGAATTTTGTTAATGTGTGAAGAAGCCTGCCATAAGAGTTTCATAAGCTTACTCTTCAAACGCTTTAAAATCTGACAAAGAGAACGCCATTTATATAAAGTGGGTTCCACAAAGTGCCTTGTACCACTGGAATGCACATTTCTGCTGATTCTCCTTCAGCTGCAGCCCTCCACACCACATCCGTGACCCTAAGGAGTGGTTGGGGTGGGGTATAAAGGAATACAGCCAGAAGGAGGAGAACACAGGAAAGCTCCATTGAGTGAATGGAACTCTGTAATTCTTTGGATCTGTGCCATACTTACTCAGCTCTTTCCAAGCATATTAACTATATATATTCAAGTAAGGATTTTTAGGTTATATTCCTAGCTGTTCCTCTCTTTTTCCTTTCCCTTCCTTTTAAAAAACAACAACTAGAAATCTTGTTATCTGCCTTAGCGGAAGTGTATGCTTATAAGCTTATTATTATAGTTTTCTCAATGAGGAATGAATAATATGAATTACAGTTTATGGTTGATATTTATAGTAAATACTGCAAGCCCAGAGTTTTGCACATTTTGGTTGATGAGGGAAACAGAAAAGGATACCATTTTCATACCTGTTGTTTGCTTAATAAATGTTTTGTATTGTTTATATTGTGTTTTTATTGTGCACTTCCATAGGTTTAGCAAACTGTAAAGCAAAACAAATGAAACTTGCTTGTGTTCCAAAGTATTTATTATGTGATTTTTTAAAATTACAAGTTCACAGACTGGGTGTTTGTACTTCCCATACTATTTCAGCTTTAGGTCATTCATTTAGCTCTTTAAAAATTGTGGATATCGGCAATAAATGTACTTAGTAGTACCCCTAAAGCTAAAGGTACCCCTGACCATTAGGTCCAGTTGCGAACAACTCTGGGGTTGCGGCGCTCATCTCGCTCTATAGGCCGAGGAGCTGGCGTTTGTCCACAGACGGCTTCTGGGTCATGTGGCCAGCATGACTAAGCCGCTTCTGGCGAACCAGAGCAGCGCACGGAAATGCCATTTACCTTCACGCCGGAGCGATACCTATTTATCTACTTGCACTTTGATGTGCTTTCAAACTGCTAGGTTGGCAGGAGCAGGGACTGAACAACAGGACTCACCCCATCATGGGGATTCGAACCGCCGACCTTCTGATCGGCAAGCCCTAGGCTCTGTGGTTTAGACCACAGCGCCACCCACATCCCAGTAGTACCCCTACTAAGCATTTATCTCCTGGTTGTACAGCTGCTAGGTTACTACTTAATCCATGATGATGTTTTGGTTTCTTACACACTAATAACACAGCATGAATATAGTGCTAGGGTTTTTTTTATTATTGGGGGAAGGGATAAGTCCAAATCTATTGGTCAGTGTTTGTACAGTTGACATTGGCATGGAAGAATGGTTGGTATAAACAGTATTATTCAGGACAGTCCTGTCCCAACTCATGGCCATTCCGAATGTGGCAATTTGTTCTTGACATGGACTATAGCATAGACGCGGGATGGATGTTGAGTACAAATAGTACAGATTGCATAGGTTTCATGAGTGCTAAATTGTGTTAGACCTAAATTGTGTTAGACCTGTTCAAGCCTCATTGCTTTCTCTCTAATGTCAATTAATGTGAGCTGATGCAGCTCACAAGAGTATATGTTCCTGTTTCCTACAAAGTGTTTGGCACCATGGTTTTATTTTAGGAAACCACTTCACAAAGTTCTGGCTGGATTGGAATTTGCTCAGCTAGTATTTAAGTGCTCAGTTGCCATAACCAAATTCTTGAGCCCAGCTTGGGGAAGCGGGGGGGGGGGGGGGAGCTATGCCTGACATCATATGGCAATAAAAAAAAATTCATATAACAGCTGAATAGGTTTTTGCATAGTGGTTGCTTTGCTTTTCATTGTTCATTTATTCCTTATCTCACTTCAGCACTACCAGCTTAATCCTGTGCCTGCTCATGTTTTTCCTTCCCAAAAGAAATAAAATAAGCCATTTACTACCAGTTAAATGTCATTCCTGACTGTTCAAGCTTTGCTATCTTATTTTATTTTTATCTGAACATAAATATAAATCCATTGCTGTAACATTGTTCCTGGTGTGTTACATTTTAAAATTTAAGAAACCAGTAAAGCCTTTTGCTAACCCTCATTCACATTGCAAAATTAAAATTTATGTTTTATTTTTTTCCAGAAGAATATACATTCTATATTTTGTGAAACACTACCAAATTTTTAGTGGAAACAGTAGTGGAAGAAAGTAGTGAGTTATCCCCTCTGAAAATATTTATGATGTGGTATAGGAAGATCCTGTGCAAACACTTATAGCTTCTGTTCTACAGCAGTTGCGCTATCGCACATGTGATTGCATACATTCTAAAACTCTCTTGTGTACAATGATAATTTATTGCATTTCCTCTCATTGGCATATATTATTTCCTTCCTTGCTCCTCATTTAGCCTCACAACAACCCTGTGTTATTATGCTGTGAGATCAGAAGTTAGGCTGCAAGCTTCTTGGTGAAGTGGGGTTTTGTACAGTACTTGTGTCTTTGACATCTAGTATACTAACCAGAGGGCAGCAAATGGGTAGCAGATGATATGGGATTATGATTCCCATCGTCCCTCACCATTTACCGTGCTGGCAGGGGCTAATGGAAGCTGGGAGACCCAACAATGTCTGAAGAACATTGGCTTTGCCTAGTGCTACAACACCCCATTCTCACAGCAAGAATCACTGCTTAATCCTCTTCCCAGTTACTGGCATCTGTCTGTCTCAGCAGACAACGGAAGTGCGTGCCTTAAGGGGTGAAGCCAAATGGTTGAAGAGCTACAGCACCCGCTGTGGCTGTAAAGATTGATATGGGAGAGAAATGTTTTCTTGCAGTTGGGGCAGATGAAGGGTTCAAGTTTTGCTGCTACAGGTGCAGAATGGCATTTCTCTCTGGGCTCCTCTCAGTGGTCATTTCAGTGGTTGGTGCTGTGGATATACAACATGAGTGTCTTGTCTCCAGGCACTGCAGTCGTCTGCAAGGTATTCTCATATGGCAGGGTTAATGTTACCAGACTCCATGTCATGTTTGCAGACATCTTTGTAACACAGAGTTAGACTGCCAACAGGCCTAGGGCCTGAAGCCAGCTCCCCATAAAACACATCCTTGGGGGTCCTGGTATTTTAAATTCTGTGTGCATGACCAAGCCAGCATAGACATCACAGAGACAGAAGTGTGAACATGCTGGGAATGTGGCCTTGAGAGAGCACATGCTTGTTCAAGACTCTGTCATGCCAAGTGCACAGCTCACTTCCACAACTTGCTTCCATAAAGCAGCATACTCAACACAAATCCTGATAGACCTTCAACTTAGTATTTGGTCATAAGCATCACATTCTCCCAAACGCTCTCGGAAAGGCAAGTCATTGCTGTAGTTGCCTTGCTAATACACCTGTCCAGCTCAGCATCGATGGAAAGGTTGCTGGTTATGGTGGATCCCAGGTAAACAAAATCGTCTACCACCCTAACCATGTGTTGCATGGAGTGCTGAAGGCTTGGACAAAATGGTTGATGAGTCTCTGTAGAGCTTCCTTGGAGTGCACTCTTAAGGCTGTGTCATCTGAAAACAACATATCTCAGATTAAGAACCACACACTTTTGTCTTGGTGTGAAGATGTGCCAGGTTGTACAGATCCCCACCCCTCCTTGAATGGAAGTACATACCGTCTTCAGTCGAGCTGAAGGCATGGGGAGAGCAAAGAGAATTGGAGCGAGAACACAGCCCTATTTCACACCGTTCTTTACAGAGAAGTGTCCATGGATGAACAGTCATACTGGACGGTGCCATGTATGTTTTCGCGGAAGGCACAACCATATTGTGGGCATCCTATCTTAGGTGAGCATCCTATCTTGTTGAAGAGTCCTTTTCAGCTGAAGAGGTCAAAAGCCTTCGTCAGGTCTATGAAGGCAGTGTACAAGGGGCTTCTCTGCTCTCAGCATTTCTCCTGCAGCTGGCGAGTGAGGAAATCATGTTGACCATTGACCTCTGAGCTCTAAAGCCACATTGTGACTCAGGATAGATCCTATCAGTGAGTGTAATTTGTTGAGAACACAGACAAAGGCTTTCCCAACAGCAGCTAGCAGGGAGATTCCACGATAGTTATAAGCATGGCAGTCACCTTCCTACAATACATGTGCTTAAGTTTCTTCACTATTTCTTGTATGTTATATTGATTATAACAGCCTACTTTTTAAAAGAGAGAGAGATAATGAGAACATTTCAATAACTTTAATCAAAATGGATCTGGTTATAGAATAACTGTGATTCCAGACACATTCAGCAACGTTTAGCTATATTTATACTTTTATTGTGGGGGTGGGAATAGAAGGGTTGCATAGGTCATTGTGTGTCCATGTGCATGCACCAAAGTCATGATGCATCTGCTTCCTCACCTAGAGATTCAACTTCCAGAGACCCAACATTTCTATAAAAGGCAAAAGCAGAAAAAGAGTGAATATTAAAGGGACAGTTTTGGAGTATATGCTTTGGGTGACCTGCCAACTGAATCCCATACCTTGTTGCACATTTGGCATGCAACTGAAGTGCTGCATAGTGCAGATCTCGAGGGGGCAGTTACGTTATTAGCATGAAGCTGATCTTTCAAACCTTATATCACAAAAATGACAGTGCAGATACAGAGGAATGTTCAGACCTTCCACCTTTATTACTGCAGAAGTTGGAGGGGGGGAGAGAAATTACTAAACTCAAAATTGGGTGCAAATTGCTGAGTGGTTTGGGGGATGTGTGCGTTTTTGTTTTGTTTTTGTCTGAAGAAACCACTTGAATATAAAAAAGAGTAATATTTGCAGCTTTTCCTTTCTAACTATCCATCTACTTTAAGGAGGTACACAGTAATTTTGCAAAATGTATTTAATATGTGTTAGTGAAAATATTGAACCACATAAAACTAGTTGATGTTTATGAAACAGGAGACTTTTGTGCACAACCATGGACACAAACATACTCTGCTAGATGATTCTGTATGGCATGGGTCACCAACATAGTGTTCGTGGGCTCACATGTGCCCACAAAGGCCTTCCTAGTGCCCATAGGGTCTCTTCCCCTACTGAAATTAGGGCTTGAACAAAGCCTTATTTAGCTATTCAAAGGCTCTTTCCCCCCAACTCTAATTCTGTGTGGGCAATTGCAAAGGGGTTTCAGCTGGGAGGAAAGAGTTGCGGCATGTGTGTAGTGCCCACAACAGTTCCTATATTTCACAAATGTACCCGTGAACCCAAAAAGGTTGGCAGTGTACGGCATCAAAGGAGACCGGGGCTAAAATATGCCTCAGGGTGAACAGTGTATGAATATTGCTCTTTATCTGGAAATAGCTTTCAGCATTTTATTATAATGAGTAAGGCAGCACTTTAACCCTTATAAATTCTCCTAAACTAGAATTTTAATTTCTAATGGCACATACTTCCTGCACTTATTCATGTGTAATGTAATGTAAGTCTCATGGAGCTTAAGGGGGGTTACTCCATAGTAAGGGTACTTAGGATTACACTGCTTGTTATTGGGGTTTTTTGCCTGTTTTGCTACTCACTACTCACTATTCTTGCTGTTAGATATCTAATTAAAGCATCAGCGTAGAAATTGTTTTGGCTATAGAACTAGACTTAAAACAAACCTTCTCCAGAATTTTTTTTTTATGATGGATATTTAATCACGATAATTACAGTTTACAAGGCAAGCCTTGTGTTGCTAACAGTATTGACTTGTTGAGTAAAATATTTATGAGTAGCTTCTTGCTGAGCTTTGCTCGTCTTTAATGGAAGCATTAGCAGTGCCGTGCATTGTGTACTTCATCATCTTAAAAGGTTGCTTTACATTACCCATCTCCATCAAAAGCCTGTCCACAGAAGCTTTGTGCAATATCTTTTTTATAAAGATGATAAGGAATTCAATACTTGGCTGTGCCGCTATTATTCAGTAGTACACTCCTGTTATTAAGGGGGAGAGGTGACAAGATGGAGCAGTGAATGAGGAAAAATTATCTCTCCCCCATTCTCTCTTCCCATGGCCCATGAGGCACAATTGCAGACACCGGAATCTGCCTTATACTGAGTCAAGACCAGTATTACCTACACTGGCTGGCAGCAGTTCTCCAGGGTTTCAGGCAGGGGCTCTTCCTAGCCCCCCCCCCCCCCGGAAATACCAAGGATTGAGTTTACGACCTTCTTCATTCAAATCAGATGGTCTACCCCTGAGCTCTGGTCCTTTGGGTTCGGAAAGGTAGTGTGATGGAAGAAATTACCAGTTTCTAAAATTAAAAAGGCGCAAGTAGCAGGGTGTTGGGGGAAAGGGAAACCTCTTGAGTATATTTACGCAAAGCCCTTTATGAAGATTTCAGGTAATGACAGATTTGGGAAAGGGGCGTTTCTAGTACAGCACCTTGTACATTGTAGGCATTAATAAAATACATTGCTTTTGGATGACAAAAGCCAATAATGCAAGTTATTGTTAGTTGTGGTAAAGGTAAAGGTAAAGGGACCCCTGACCATTAGGTCCAGTTGTGGCTGACTCTGGGGTTGCGGCGCTCATCTCGCTTTACTGGCCAGCATGTGGCCAGCATGACTAAGCCGCTTCTGGTGAACCAGAGCAGCGCACGGAAGCGCCGTTTACCTTCCCGCCGGAGCGGTACCTATTTATCTGCTTGCACTTTGACGTGCTTTCGAACTGCTAGGTTGGCAGGAGCAGGGACTGAGCAACGGGAGCTCACCCCGTCGCGGGGATTCGAACCACCGACCTTCTGATCGGCAAGTCCTAGGCTCTGTGGTTTAACCCACAGCGCCACCCGCATCCCGTTAGTTGTGGTAGGGGCCACTATAAAACATTACAGTGCAGAAAGATGAAAAACACCCAACATTTCTGCACAGGAGGGTGTGTGTGTGTGTGGTTTTTTTTAATGGCAGCAGTAACATGCTACAAATTTATTTATCCATTTTAATAATCCAATGGTTTGTTTGGTTTTTTTTCTTACTGCAGGTCCAAGAAGAAGAAAGAGACTACAGTATTGAACCTATTACAGATGACTACAAAAAGATGGGAACTCTCTTTGGAGAGCTCAACAAAAGCCTCATTAGTATTGGCTTCACAAGGATGTATTTTGGAGAACGGATTGTGGAACCTGTAATAGTCATATTCTTCTGGGTTATGCTCTGGTTCCTTGGTTTACAAGCTCTTGGACTTGTTGCAGTTCTATGCCTTGTCATTATTTATGTTCAGCAGTAAAGCACTATAGATGGTGGTTGAACACTATGTAATCTCTTGGTGGATTTACATATTAAACCAAGCAAGAATAGTATATTAATAGCTGGTGTGCTGAACATTATATTGCCACTAAAGAGTTATGCATTCTTTCTTTTTGAACTGTCCTTATCTTTGCAATTTAAAACAAAGCAAAAAATTCTAAATGTGTTATGAACTGATGGGTTAAAGAAGACCTTAATACAGGACAGTGGAAGCTAATTAATAGAAGATACTGAATCAATGTAGTTCCTGTGGGTTCCAGTCCTGGAAGGTCTTTTTGGTATGAAAAGAAACTTGCCCAAAAATTAGGTTAGCAGTGGTTTTATATTTGTTCTATGACAACTTTCCAACAGTCCTTTTTGTATTGCAAACTAAACTTTTTAAAATGCTGGTTTGTATGAGCTTTTATGCTTCATTATTTTATATCATCCTGTAAATCTCTCTGCAAACTTCTTTAGCCTTGTGTGTATACATATTCAGTCTTAAGCAAGTATGCTTCTGTACGACTGGTGCCATTTAATGCTTTATATGTATATAAGAAAAATTAAGGGAGGAATTCAGTGTCACACTCTTCTGATCGTTCTGTCAGTGCAAGCGTTTTCTGCTTGTCAGACAGAACAATTCCCCCTCTCCTCTGCCTGCCTGTTTCTCCCAACCCTCCAGAGCACATTTGAAGAAGGCGCAAGGGTTCCATGGGGCAGGGAGAGGGGAGCCCTTGCACTGGCTTCCACTAGCGTGCCAGGATAGTCGAATCCAGCCCAACATATTTACTAGATAAGAGACTAATACTCTTGGCAGCTTTTCGTCCATGTCATGTTCTCATTGTGACAAAATATTCCTCTCTTTTTGTAATGGCTTTCTAACATCCTACATCCTGTATCTGAAACTTTTCTATGCACAAGCACAGTAGACTTTGATGCAAGACAAGCCACACTAAAGATGGTGGCTACAATCTTTCATGTGTTCCTTTCTAGTGATAGGGGCATTGTTCATTTTGGGGGGATTCCAAAAACAAATTTCTTAGGTTTGGATGTATAAAACCCATCCTGAATTAGGCCAGATTCCTTCAGAGTCTGAACCTGATTTGTAATGATGCCAACTGTTCTTTTTGCCATTCTGTACCAAATGTACTCAGGAGTGTAAGGGCTCAGTACAAAGCCATCATTAGGCGCTAGTATATTGCTGAAAGTATTGTGGTTCCTATGAGGTTGATTTGCAAAGTGAAAGATTCTTTGAATGAGAAACTAGGCAAATGCTAGAGAAAACCATACTGAATGACAGCCATATAAGCATATTGCCTGCGCAATCTGTTGTAGCCAGTGTCCCTTTTTTACAAAGAGTCCTTACCTTCACAGAGAGGCCTTTGATCAATGGAGGCAGAGCCGGCCTGCCCATGAGATGAGGTGAAGCACCTGCTTCAGGTGGCAGAAGTTCAAGAGACGGTGCTCGGCCCACCCCACCGCTTCCACCACTGAGAGGGAGGCCCATGGGCAAAGAAGCCAAACAAGAACACTTTGAGGAGTGTCTGGGCTCTCACTGAGTTCAGCAAGAGCCAGGGCATTCTTGGGCCATGTTGCAAATCAGCTTAATTGGTAATGCTTTGACGAGCAGCACCCTAGCTCCCGCCAACCTCAATGAGAGCCAGAGTGCAGTGGTGGCAGAAATGTCTTAGGGGGACAAGAAGGTGGCAATTCCTGTTTTGCCTCAGATGGTGAAACAGGATGGGCTGCCCCAAAGTGGAGACCTCTAGTGGAAGGGAAGGACATTTCGCTGATACCTCCTTTTCTGTGGAGCTCTAACACTCCCTTTAATGCTGTTCTGGATAGTCTCCCAACCTTCTCAAGCTATTTTTTGTGGGGTGCAGAGAGGAAGAAGGAATCATTGATAACTTCATGCTCCTACCCCGTTGGTGGTTACCTCTGCTGAATCAAAAGCTCTTTTGCAAACGAAAGTTTATTATTGGCTACAATCAAACAGAATTATTTCTGCAGCTTTCATTCTGTTAATACTCTATGGTCCTAATGGTCACATAAGTATTTTTTTCTTGCAACATAGGTGTTACAACTATTCAGGAAAAGTTGGTTGAATTTGGATGCAATTTATTATATGCTCAACATAGTAGCATATTTTTTCACTTTTAAATGAATTTCTGATCTCCATTTCATTTGCCAAATATGTTAAGTGTCCATAACATTAAAATAGCTGAACCAACCTTTTTCTCCTGTACAGTTTGCTTCATGCAAACATTTAAAATGGAGAAGCATTTGACTTTGCTGCCTTTTGTTTCTGTTGACTTGTAGCAACTATAAGTGATCTCTTGTGAGTACTATGGCTCTATGTACAGCTGAATCTCCTTCACTTGCAGTATATTTCCTATTCATTTCATGAGAGGAAGACAAATATGTACAAAGTGATTGTATCCATTGAAATGAATGAGGAAGGTCCATGTGAGCCAGCGCAGCCCAACTTGGGCTTGGGATCAAGGTTTGCATGATTGGGGCACATGTTATCAGAGCTACATATTATCAGAAGAAAAATATACAATTAGAATTTAAAGAATGAATTGGCAGAAATGTTTGATGTTTGAAAGATGAGGAATAGTCTCACAGGTTTTGTTTATAAAATGTATTACTCTTGTCTGTTGGCTACAAAGTTTAGTGCTCTTCTGGTGCAAGCACTATTGAAACAATTGAAAGGTGTGTAGCAAGGAAGACAGTGTTAGGTTGCCATATAAATGTCCATTGTGAAAAACAGTAACCCAACTCTTTACTTTGTATATATGTATATTTATTTATGTGAAGATATTTAAGGTAAATTACCACTTGGGCTCTTGGTATTAAAATTGTTTGGGGAGCATAGTATATAAATCCATGTGTGGGGATATTTCCACCTTAATTGATTTAATGACTCAGAGTTTTATGTGTGTGTGTATATGTGTATATATATATATGTTGTTTGAATTATCCAGCTGTACAAGAAACTTGGCAGGATCCAAAGGACCATGCATGATGTTTCATTTACAGACACCTCTTCTTGCTCCAACTCTTTTGCGCCAAAATACCATATCCAAGGGTTGGTTAAACCCTTCAGAGCTGCACATAACACGATGCAGGTGAATGTACTCAGGCGTAGAAACTGAAGGCCTCCCATCCATGTGTGGAAAAGCTTTATGGTAAGGCACAGGGGCTTTGGGAACACAAGACTATTAATAGACTGTTGGACTCTCACTTGCACTGAAAAGCTGCCACACACAAACTGACAAGGTTAAATTATTTACTTAGATACGTTTCTATAAAAGTGTACTTTGAGAACACTTCGTTACGTTTTCTAATAAAATGCTTTCTCATTACTCATTGCCCGTGCCTGATTATTTTTCATGAGGAATACATGGGAACATCAAAAAGCACAGCTGTATTCTGTTGAGCTTGTGATTCAGTGGGACCTGCAATAAACCAAGAAATCATTGTACAACACTAAACAGAGCTGCATCCGTGAAGAGCGAAAAAATCACTTTAGTAACTGATGGTTTAGGATTTAAGAGAAACCGGTATGTTGGTAAAGTGCTATTATTTGCAGATGACCTCCACTGCAATACTAGATTTAAGCATGGATTCAAGGGGCCAGTGGGGAGTTTCTGTTTGGTGGGACCTTCTAAGCATTCCTCATTGAAAACTAGTCGCCTATGCCCAGTCAGTTTCTCCCCAAACACAAGGGAATTTGGGAAGCAATTTAATACTAGAAGTAGAAGTAGTTTGGGCAGCAAGCATGGAAGGGAACTCAGAAACCTGCCTATTTGACGCTTTCAGAATACTGTTCTTACTGTGCAGTGGGCTTTCCATATGTGAGCTACCCTCCTACCCTAAAAAAAATTTTAATTGGTCAATAATTCCAGATCCCAAATGGCTAATCCAGTCATTTCCCCTTAGCTGAACATTTCTGTGACAGCCCAACTGTGTGAGAAGCCTTCTGATTCAAGGCAGCATCAGCTAACTTGCAAAGAAATAGAGTGATTTGGCCCTGGAAGGAGGAAGAGCTGAAATGAACTAGACTGGGAAAGAGTTTTGACAATGGAAATCTCCAAGATATGTGATCAAGAGATGATAAGAAACTAGCATGTGAGCAGCTCTTTCATTTTCCTAACACATCAAAGGGTTTGGAACAGGCATGCTGCTGTTTTTGATGAATGGAAGCAAGACCAGAGTGGTGGTGTGTGTCCAGATGGGAGCAAATAGCTTAATTTTCCTTGGTTGTAAGTTGATCCTCGGGCTCCTTGTTTTGTATGGGATGTCTTTTCATCAATACCTTGTGTCTATGAGTGTTTTGGTAATATGGAAGCTAACTTTACACCCACAAAAAGCAAGAATCACTGATACTATTAAAACCACCTATTTGGAGATGCCTATCCTAGCTACAGTGAAGCAGTGGTTTGTCTAGTGTGCTATCTTGTTACTCGTTAAAAATTGATTTTCCAGTGTTTATTTTTCCCATCACCTTGTGGATGCAATATGCTGTAAAATGCTTAACTAGAGCTGACATCAGCCAAGCACCTGCTTTCCTCAGGCATTTCATTCTGTAAACCTTAGACTGTTAGGATCACGCTATCTTTCACAAGCAGCTGAGCTCCACAAACTAGGCTCTGCTGAAGAGTCAGCATATTATGCAGCCATTACATTCTGTTGCTGGCCTGAACAGATACTGGGGGTTTTTCTTCCACCTCTCTGGCAAATTTTTATCAGCTGAGTGCTTAACATTCTGATTCCTTGTGTTAACAAGAACTGCTTGTGCAGCATCTTCCTGATATATTGCTGTTGACATGTATACTGTTCAGTTTGGTTCCAAATTTATGTAGCAACCAGGAAGAAATGTGTTTTAAAAAATAATTTTCTTGTGTTCTCAATAAAGTGCTCACTCAACTATTAAAAGGAACAATGAACGTACTGGGTTGGGAATGCTTGCAAATTGATGCAGTCTGCACTTTTGATGTAGTTTGTACCGATAAACCTCTGTGTAAGGATTTCATATTCCTTTATACATCATTGTCACTTTTACATTCCATTCTGCAGCCTGGTCAAGTCCTTGAATTCCATCTACACTGCCTTTCCCTCCCAAGCACCCTTGTTCCTACTGCGCAAACACTCTTAAGCAGCAGATGGAGAAAAAGGCAGTTTTATCTGTGGTGACCGTGTTTCATATTACACTTATATTAAAGGCACAGGGTCAGCAGTCTGTTTCTCCTGACCAGTTGACAAGCCTACTCTCAGTGATCCCATCAGGTGGGTGGGGCTGAGAAAGTGATGCTACAAAGGCCAGATAGTGAACGTCATGGCTAAGAGAGGATTTGAATCTACATCTTCTCAGTCCAAGTCAAACATTGTACCATAGGTGAGAACATTATTCACCAGAGCACATCATGTACTATAATGCGTTATGGCAGTCTGCTGCCAGTATTACCTATGATGCCTGTGAGAGTAAATATCCCTTCCAAAATCCATGATACAAGAGAGAAAGTTTGCTCTTCCTGCTCAGTTCCTGTTTGCACTGGTTCAGCTACATTCAACATAGCCCTTAAATATACACACATTTAATTTGATAGCAGGATTGGACACACACCCTCCCATCCACTCTGAACGGATGAGAGGTGCAAAGAACTTGAGGTGCCTTTTCTCCATTGATGGAACAACTGATTGTTCGGGAGGAGGATGCCTGCATCATTTTTGTGGTCTTCTCTTTTTCTGCTCTTTTAGATGTGGCAGCCATTTTGTGTTATACCCACCCCACCCAGCAGCCGTTTTTTATTTTATGATGCCTTCACCGGAGCAATTTTGTGACTTGCACCCAGGGCACTTTCTCAAAATTCCAGATATGCCTACACATCCAAAAAAGTTGGCAGCCTTGCACTACAATTAAGAGAGTAACATTCATGTTAGCTTACACGATGGTAATTCCCCCAGATGATATTAATTAACAGATATGTGGTGGGTGGTGAAACTTTTGTGTATTATTTACTATATCTTATAGTTCTGTTATATCTTGTAGTTATATAATATTATAGTGAGTGCCTGGAGATAAGAGAGAAAGAGAAAGAGCCATGTAAGCAGTTAGGTGGCTAAGTCTCTCCTGCCTCCATTTCATGGCTTTTGTGGACTTAAGGCAAGATTTGTGAACAGCAATACCAATAGTTTAATGGCATTTCTGCACACTTAAGCAGGTGTATTTAACTAGTGCCCAGTCCCTGAGGCTGGCTTAAAGTTTCATAGGTATGAGCTCTAGTGTTTTATCCACTTCAGGGTCTTGACCTACTTTCCAAATACTCTGAGGCATAATTTTTAGTCCCACACACAAGGAAGTGATCATTTACAGAAATTTTTTGCAGGAAAAAGTTTTACAGGATTTAAGAAAATGTGGGCTCTAGCAGTGGAAAGCATGTCAGGATTAAATAATTTTCTCTAGCTCTGGCCAAAAAAATAATGAATGTATCCTTTGGCCAAGTTTTAAATTCTCCAGTTGATGTGCATGAAAGTCTGGCGGTGTCTGTGGACTTGGTGATAAATGTATTTCCAAATCTGTTTCGACTCTGTGAAGAAAATTCTGCTCTTTGGTACTGAGGCTTCAAGCATAGACTGTCATTTGAGCTCATAATTAACTTGCTGTAGGTCACTGCCCACTTGGAAGGCTAATGTACAAGAATGGGAGGGTGATTATAGCTTGGGTGGCATTAAATACTTAATTTCAAGAGTAAGAAGAGCCAGGTGTTCAAGAATGCCAGGAAATCCATCCCATCCCCATCTGGTCCTCCTGAGAGAAACCAGGAATGGCCTCTGACCTGGATTCCCCTCTCCTCCAGAAAGAACCCAGAACACACACACACACACACACACACACACACTATGCCAATGGTGAGACAAGATTACTTTGCTTTTGCTTTTTTTGTTTTTGCTTTTTAATTAATTTATTTATTGTATCATATAGAGTAAGGCTTGGCATTGAAATTAGGCTGAAAATTATTCAGCCTCAGTATGAACATATGAAGCATATACTGTCTGTGTGTTTGTGTGTATTCTCCTAGTACACATTAAGCAAGTTGATCTGAAGAAATGCCAATGGATTTTTAGAAGTTAGCAGGTATGTAATACTGGTGGGTGTTATCAAAGCCCATTATGAACAGTTGTGACCGTTTTTTGCGGTAAGCAAGCACATAATCCTGTTTCCCCTCATGCAGGCAACTCCCTTACTCTCTCTTTTTTTTTAACCCTTCTTCCGGTATTTATTCTGTATGTGAGGGGCAAACGATGACGAAGTTTAAAGAACCACTCATCAGACTGAAACCATTTTATATGCATTTTACTTTGAAGCAGATTTTAGTTGTATCCAGTTCACATTAAAGTTGTAGAACTGGACCCAATGCTCAGTTCTCATTTTTGTCAGTTTAAAACAGTAACAAAGCTGCTTGTGTTTAGATCTTTGAAGGTATGAGGTCAAGTACTCCTTGCATTAGCTTTCCTGTAAAATGCATTAGTGTGTCCCCATGGAAAATCAAAACTCTTATGGACATAAGGTTTATAATGCTTCTAGTAGCATCTAAGCCCAGCAATTAGGATCATTATCTCTGCACAGTTCTTGTTTCACTCACTTCGTTACGAGCTAAGGCTAGCTGAACAATTCTTAAATGACACATTATAGATATATAATATTTATATTACTGCTGTGAAACAAAACAAATATTGATGTGTTTTCACCATAGATGAATCCAGCTTTTTCAAATCTTCACAGTACCCCCCCACTAAAAACAGAAAATGTTACATGAAGCTGTAAAATGTATATTCTGAAGTGCATATTGTACATTCCTTTTTCTATATATTTCCTTTATGCATAAGTTACATTTCAATTATTCTAGCAAGGGTTATAGAGGAATACCCTATAAAAGCAAATGTTAACTACACACATATGTGGTAAGGTTTCAAATACTGAAAGTTAATCATACATAGTTATAATTCTCTACTGTCATATGTTTCACTCTTACTTCACTGCCTGGCATGCCAATGGCTCCCTAGAGGCTGTGCATCCTAAGAAATAGACTGGAGCATCATTTCCCAATCTGGCTGTGCTGCCTGGAGCTGATTGTTGTTATAGTCCAAAATATTTGAGGGTACCAGGTTGGGAAAGTTTGGCCTGGAGCAATCTGCCAGTCATTCAGTGGAGAGGAAGAGGTTTGTGTTCAACTCTGCTCTTACAGATTTGTCTGAACTCAGTAAGAAGACCAATACATACATTAGACTAAATGCATCCTACAAAATGGTACCAGCTGCCTTTATGTTTCTTTTATTAAGAATAAATATAAATATGACTGCACTCAGAAGTTTCACAGTGCACACATATGCCTTGGAACCCAAAGATTTTTAAAAAATAAAAATACACCTAAATGGCTATTAGTATTGTGTAGAGGACAATAAAGGGAGGGTGACACAGATGCACTTAATTATTATCTAAGATTTGTGGAACGTAAGCTTTCTCAGTGTATTTTTTCTTCTTCATTTGGCTCAGAACACTTACTTTACACAAAATAATAATTTTATGTAGAACACTGAGGCACTGTAAATATCAGTTCACAAAGTCTCTGCTCATTTTGAAACATTAGTGAACCAGAAACCAGAGACATATTTTAAAGCACAGACTGAGGGATGGGGGGGAATGGCAAGCCAACTTAAAATCCAAAATGAAGTACTTTAGATCAGCATAATAGAATTCCTTGTGATTTATGTGCAATGACTCTAAATTAATGAAGTGTTACTTGCTCCAACATTGCTACAAGCTACCTGTTTGACCTCCCTCAGATAAGACATTCCTTTGAAACAATGGACTGTTAAGAAAAGTTGAGGGCATTCAGTGGAAATATCAGTTTGGCAGTCTAGGTCCTGCTAGTCAGGTGTCTTTTTCAAAATAACTTATTGATTTAGTATATTAATATCCTACCTTTCTTCTACCATGGAAGTCAACATGGTGTACATGGGATTTGCTTGTAAACACCTTTGTAGTCCAATCTATCTACTGAAAATTGGGTTGACATCAAACTAATTGCAAAAGAAGCCATATGTGTCTTGTTTAATTTATACAAGCTATGTAGTAAGCATATACAAAATAAAGAAAATTATAATTAGGGAAACATTTTCAAAATTGGGTATTTCAGATAGTCACCACTCTAACATGACCTAGCATTGAATTAACATTTAGTAGGCACACTAGGAAAATAAAAAAACGGGAAGCAGAGGGAAGGACTAGATGGACAATGGGGGGAAGTGTACAGTAATTCTTACAAAAGACTGTAGTGTAGAATCAGGAGCAAGTCAAAGAATGGAAGCCAAGTTTGCAGATTACATCAAATTAATCAAGCAATTTGGCTCCTTCCTGCACCACCCTGATATGTTCCTATATTCCAGCTGGTCGTTGTAAGATCAATTCATTTTTAATATGAGAGTTAAGAGATTAACCATTTCAGGTGTGCTCCAAAAAGCATGGAAATTGTGGGTTAACATCCAGTGGAAAATGGCACAAGGAATGATTGCACCAGAGAAGACGTTACTTTCTCCCATGCAGAGGGATGAAAGCTCAGGGGTAGAGCACATCCTTTGTAAGCAGAAGGTTCTATTGAGCAAGCCTTGCCATCCACAGTTAAAAGGATTAGATAGCTGTTGATGTGGTTTCTCCATGACACCATGGAGAGCTCTTGCCAGTTATAGAAACTTGGGTAGACGGTCAAATAGTCTGACCTGGTTCTATGTCCACTAGGATCTTTTTTGCATGGAGAACTTTTGTGCATCTGAACCCAACATGTGTGACTTCTTCCTTTCTCCATGTTTCATTCTGAACATACAAAACAGCAATCAGTGAGCTCCTGGTTCAAACACAAAGTAAGAGCATGCTGATTACAGTAATTAAAGAAAGGTCTTATACCAATATTGCCTGTGGAGAATCCTGGAAACAATGTGTTCTCTTAATCCAATTATGATCCTGAAGGAATGACTCAGGCATCTTATCTCAGCAACGAAATATGAAGCCAGGGGAATGTTAGTACTAATGGCAACAAAAACAAGACTTAGCAGTTAAGACATGCAAAATGGACACCAACTGGATTAAGAATGTTCTCTCAACTTCACCTCACTCTAGGCAAATATATTATATTGCCAGTAAAATATCAAACAGCTTTAAGCTCTGATAAGGTATTCTGGCACCCACATGTATCATCCAATGCCACCTTTGTAAGGTACAGCCATAAGTAGCCTATCATGGCGTGCTTAGCAGTAAGACTGGACCTAGCATTTTAAAATGTAAGTCTTTGTTCCCTGCTCATAAACTGCAGACAAAATTCATTATTTTATGATAAATAAAATGATGTCACTCTGCCCACAAATGAGCATTACACTTTTTTAAAAAATGCTTTCTTTTGCAATATGCAGGGTACTAAGATTTATAACAAGGCGATTATTAGAAACTGTTCAAAATAATTTATAATCTAACACCTGGCATTGTGAGGTCCTTTTAAAAAAAAAGTCTATTCCTTTTGCCTTAGTAGTTTTTCAATCTCATTTCAAGTTCAGTAGAGAACATATCTTTTTATCTAATACCAGCTAATTTTTGAAGCAAGGTGTTGTTAGTTCAGATTCTGTACTGCCATACAAAGCTGCCATGTTCTTAGTTGAAATGCTCTGTGGATATGTTGAATCAGAAGATAATACAAAATAAAGGCAGCAGTGCATGAAAGCAAACTCTGAAAACACCACTGTTTTGACACATGCTGGATAATGTATGATGGCATTCTGCCCTTCAATTTTCTTTGGGGACTCCTTGGAATATATAGCATATGTCAGTTATGATTTGCTTCTATGCTGCCTCCTTGTAAAAATATGTGTTCATGTGCTATTGAAGTGTAAATTCCAAAGCAAATTATCATGGGGGGGGATTCCAATACTGTAATTCTCTTTGAACTTTATTTCTACACTTTTTTAAATTAAATTTGTTTTTCACTTTATCTTGCCCAGGCAACCAAAAAGATTTACAACCAAACAGACAGACAACACAGACAAGACACATGCTCTGCTCATGCCTGGTGGAGGGAAAACAAGCCTTGAAAATAGTGTTCTATGCTGGGTTGCCAGGCCACATGACCAATATGACTAGTCTTGGGATCCAGCCTATGGCCCTCCTCTCTGGTCGTGCCCGTACGTTGCCTGCAGAACACCCCTTCTTGAAACTTACATTGGCCTCAGCTCAGCCAGTTACACTGTGCCAGGATTGAAGGCTTCATGCTGGCTGAGCCCAACTGAATCAGGAATCAGCCAACTGACTCAGAGGTCCACTGCTTTCTAAGCTACTCATACCAATGGATTTTGCCATAGGATTGCCTCCTAAAGTTACCAATAAAAGTCAGAAGTTAAAAAATGAGTTGCCCTTTACAGAACAATAGAATAACATAAGCAAAAAAAGAAAAGAGACTGCCCTGCTGTCACTTATTCGCTATAGGCTTCATTCTTCTACAGTCTGGTATGAGCTCCCATTTCTCTGTCCCAGCTCCTGCCAGTCCTAAGTATGCTTAATTGAAAGCATGTCTCATTGATTTCAATGAGGCTTACTTCTTTGTAACTGTACTTTAGGACTACAGTCTTGGCTCAACATGTGCAAATAAAACCAGATCAGTTACATGCTGTTGGATAAACTTGAGCAATTCACCGTGGTTTAGGAACCAAGCCCAGACAGTACAAACAGCCATAAAGTGCTGACATAGCTGTGAGAACAGGAATTTATTGCTTAAAATCAAAGCAATTTGGTTTAATGGAGTTGTGGATTGCATTGTAACTTTTTAATAAATTTATTAATATCTTATTAGATGCAGTTCATAACTTGGCAACACTGGTAGACTGAGTTAGGCTGGTTTTGGGGAGATGTGACTAAGCCAGTACAGGAAAATGAAGCATTTGTGGTGTCTTAGCTACATTTAACTCGTTCAAAAACCAGAACACTTATTTCTGGGTTTTCGGCGTTCGGGAGCCAAAACGTTCCAAAACAGAGGAGTTCGGGAACCGAGGTTTGACTGTATTTGCTTTTTCATCTTTTGTTACTCATTCCAAAGCTAAGGTGTTACTCATTCCAAACCTTGCATTACTCATTCCAAAACTACAGAAATGGGCAAGGAAGACGGTGAAGCAGCAAAAACAAAAGCAGCAGCCAAATCAAAATAAGAGCATCAATAAGCACTCCACAGCTAAAAGCTGAAAGATGGGCAGCTAGGGAATCGACAGGCGCCTAAGTAAAGGTAAAGCCAGCTTTGGACCTAACTTTGCAAACAGCAGCCTACTGGACCTCTGAGGCTATTAGCTAATGCACAATTCAACACGGGCTAGAGAAACCACCATCGCCATCATCACCATTACTGCATCCAGAATAGGGTTGCTAAATTGGGGTGGGGGTGCTGAATGCATAAAAATACTGGGTTGACCACTGTCCCTCCCTGGAAATATATTCGGGGTCTGACTGAGCCATCTTCTAGGCACGGCTTTGCTCAAACGTTTCCCGGAACCGCTCTCCCCGCTGAGCTCATTGCCACGGTAACATTCCCACCCGACTCGCATTAGTCACTATTCCTCCCACCTTTCACTTTGCGGGCGGCTCGGCGCGTAAAAGCGCACGGAGAGACAGCCGAGTCAGAAGGCGCAGCACCCCCCCCCCATCTGCGCATGCTCTCATCTGCCTCCTCGCTCCCGGTCATGAATGAGGAGGGCGGGGCCTGAGAGGGGCCAGGGGGCGGGGCCCGAGGCTGCCTGCGACGGCCGACCTGGCAGGCACAGCGTGTGAGGGGGCCGGCGAAGGCGGGCGGAGGAGAGCGGAGTCTCCGAGGGGGAGGGGGAGGGGGCGCTTTCCGTTTTTAATTCGTGGTCGCGCGACAGTGTGGCTTGTGGGTGTTTCTCCACATAACGCATAAACAAAAGGGGGGGAGTCCCGTCGCCGTGCCGTTTCTTTACCTAGCTCGCGGCGGCCGTTGGGCGGTGGCGGCGCCGCTACCGTTGCCGAGGGACCGCCGTCATAGTCGGTTGGCGCTGCTGCGGCGGTTGGTGACTTAACGGACGCTGGTGGCCCGCGCGCGCGTGCGCACACGCGCTCACCCCCTCAGCATGCCATGGGGAACAGCTGGGCGGCGCAGTGGTGCTGCTGGCTCTTCCCGAGGCGGGAAGCGGGACGGATCCAGCGAGGAGGAGGGTAAGCACGGGACGTGGAAGAGGAGGCGGGACGGGCAGGGCGGGACGGTGGCTGTGACTCCACCTTTTCGAGGTGTGGGGGGGGGGGGGTTAGGTAGTGCCCAGGTGGGACTGTAGGGCGAGTTGCCTCGCGGTTCAGCGGCGGAGTCTCGCGTCCCTTCAGGCTGACACTGCCAAGACGTGGCAGCTGCCTCAGGTGTTAATGGAGGGAGCAGGAATGCGAGTCTAGCGACGGTCATCACTCCACATTGCTGGATGGAGCCTCCGTGATCAGAGGCAGGGTATCTCTGAATGTTGCGGGGGAAGCAACAGCGGGGTGAGGGCTCTTTAGTTTGTGCGGCTTCCCCCCCCCCCCCGGAAGCATTTGATCGGCCTCTATGAGGAAACAGGATGCTCACGAGATGGACCTTCGGTGTGATCCAGCAGGCCTCTCATGCTCTCCTGCCTAAAAGCCTGTAATGCGAGATTATAGCAACAGGAATCTGTCGCAAAAGTTATAGGTGCCGTTTTTGCAGCTTCACCCAGTTCTTGGAGAGGGTGGAATGGCAGTGGAGAGTCGGCTGTGTGGCTGTTTTTCAAAAGTATATGGTTAGTCACGGGGAAACGCAGCGCCAGAATAGATTCACCTCCAGGCTGATAGGCTGTTTACCCCTCCCCCATAGGAAGGGTTCAATAAAGAAAGAAATGTCAGTGTTTCCTGATTGCTTCTGCTGTCACTCAAGGTTCTCTAGTATTTATCCATAGCTGAAAGAACATCACTTGGGGGAAGAGAAGCAGATCAGTTCTCCTGACAAGAGAATAGGTTATACTTGTATAGATATATTCTCCGTCTGTCAAGGGGGGGGGAGGGGGGATGCAAGAAGAATTCAGAGTCTGCTGGCCCTTAGCTTGGCAGTCACGATCTCAAATGGAGGACAGTTGCAACTTTACACGGATAGCCCAGCCCCACACTGACAACTGGTAGCAGTAAATAAAAAAAAAGCAGAGAAGCAGAATAACTTTTAATCTTAATGTATTGGCAATGCTATAAAATGGTGTTGATTGCTGTTCAAAGCTGTGATACTACTAATCCAGAAGTAAGTAGCAGTAAGAAGGAGGCATAAAACAATTCTGGGAAGGATAGGAATTTCTGTGCTACAGTTTATCACTTGTTTAGTTATATTTATATTTTCTTTTTTCCTCCAAAGGCTTCAAGGTGGCATATATGTTTCTCCCTTTTTTCTCCCCATATTTTATTTTCACAATCCTGTGAGGTAGGTTATGCTGAGAAATAGTGACTGGTGCAAAGCCACCCAGTGAGCTTGATCACATGGAGCTTGATCTTATGCAGATTTACTCAGGCCCTAGTGAGTTCAGTGGATCTCACTCTCAAGTTGATCAGCACAGGATTGCAGGATAAATGTAAAAAGTGTGCAAAGGGCTGTATGCCTTGTTCTTGCACAAGGGCAGAGAAAAATTAAATATCTGTTTTTTGTGGTAGGTTTCTTTGAATTCCTTCTGTAAAAGGCAAGGAGGATAAATAAAGGACAATTAGTTTTCCAAAATGTAGTAAAAAATGGAGCAATAGAAAAGTTGATACTACTTTTATCTTTGAGTAGACATCTATAGGATTGCAGTGCGAAGCAAATCTGGATATTGGCTTCATCTAAGGCAAATCTTATCCAAGCCAGACAGAATGGGAGGGGTGAGGGGGTTGTAGTCCAGCAACAACTAGAAGTGCATAAGTTTTCCATCCCTGATTAAGGTTTGCTGTTCACTTGCCTACTGGCTTAGGTTCCCTTAAAAAACCGATTTGGCTGATGTTCACATGAATTTGATTGAAACAATAACTAAGAAGGAAAGAGGTGGTTAAAGCTGAGAAACATTTGTTTCAGCATAGATTGAAGCTCTATTTTGTGGTCCTGTGAGTACAGTATAAGCTTTCATCCCTTGTGTTTGCCTTTACTGCAGACACTGACATTCAAACAGGCAGCAATTACGCTTTAGTGCACTAGATGCTACTTCAAGAAGGGGATATGACATTAAAGAATTCACAGAAACTAAATGTTCTAGTTAATCTTCTAGGAAATAATGTTGACAATGGTAAGGTGTGATGTCAGGAACTGCAATAGTTTGCCTTGTTCTATCAACCCACCTTCCTCTGAAATTAAAATAGACATAAAATCTGTAATATTTTAATACAACAAACTGTCAGTTGCTCAAAGGATTTGGAATGATCTCACCAATTTACACTTCCTAGATTTGTTTGGTGTCTTGAGTATTATGCCCAAATTTTCCCCTTAGCTTATTTAATATTCTCTGCATAGTTTGCATTTGTGTAGGCATATGGATGAGTAAGAGACAATGTCAGTAGCAGGCTACTTAGTTGCTCAGACAACAAGATGTCCATGTTTTCCCCCAGGTCTGCCAATTACAACAAAGGTGCATAAAGTACAGCATTTTTGAGAGCAAAATCCTAACTTCTTGAGACAACAGCAAGGCTTATTGGAGCAGCAGAGCACTGCCACATCCAGAGAACTGCCTGCCATGGCAAACATGTAGGAGGAGGAAAAGTATGCATCTTTGCTGGGCCAGCTCAAGGCTGACGGACCCAAACTGGCTACTTGGTACAACTTGCTGTCAATTGTACTGGCTTAGGATCTAGTGGATCCTTGGCCAACTCTGCTCCTAAAACACCCATGGGGGGTGTTATGCTGGCAGAAACTTCTACCTGTGCTTTCAGTAGAAGTGGAGAGCTTTATCATAGCAGAGACTCCTTGCTGGCAAAGCCTGGCAAGGCAAACACCTTCAGCCCATCAAAAACCCATCCATAGCAGTAGATCATGGATTTGGATTGCTTTGTCCACGGCTCTAAAAGCAGTAAAGGAGAAAAGTGTTTTTACCCTTTCTGCCAGCAGCCAAGGCCTTACTGAAAATTTATAGTGGTCCAGAGAACTGCAGCTAATCTGCATTAGTGTACTTTTCATATAACATCAGTGTCTGCATCTTACTAAACTGCAGGTGGTAGATATTCTGCAATATTCTTAATTACCCTGAATTATTATTATTATTATTATTATTATATTTGTTTAAAGGTGGGTTAACCCTTAAGACCTTGGAAAACTTGAAATATGAAATAGTCTGAACTTTTTAAAAAGCAAAAAAAAATGTCTTTTTAAAAATCCACCCGTTTCTTGTTAGTGCTTTGGGCCACACATCTTGGGAACCCCTGTTCTACCACCCTATTATGTATGTTGTTGTCGTTTAGTCGTGTCCGACTCTTCGTGACCCCATGGAACAGAGCACGCCAGGCACTTCTAGCTTCCACTGCCTCCCGCAGTTTGGTCAAACTCATGGTGGTAGCTTCGAAAACACTATCCAACCATCTCGTCCTCTGTCGTCCCCTTCTCCTTGTGCCCTCCATCTTTCCCAACATCAGGGTCTTTTCCAGGGAGTCTTCTCTTCTCATGAGGTGGCCAAAGTATTGGAGCTTCACGATCTGTCTTTCCAGTGAACACTCAGGGCTGATTTCCTTCAGAATGGATAGGTTTGATCTTCTTGCAGTCCATGGGACTCTCAAGAGTCTCCTCCAGCACCATAATTCAAAAGCATCAATTCTTCGGCGATCAGCCTTCTTTATGGTCCAGCTCTCACTTCCATACATTATTACTGGGAAAACCATAGCTTTTACTATACGGACCTTTGTTGGCAAGGTGATGCCTCTACTTTTTAAGATGCTGTCTAGGTTTGTCATTGCTTTTCTCTCAAGAAGCAGGCGTCCTTTAATTTCGTGGCTGCTGTCACCATCTGCAGTGATCATGGAGCCCAAGAAAGTAAAATCTCTCACTGCCTCCATTTCTTCCCCTTCTATTTGCCAGGAGGTGATGGGCCCAGTGACCATGATCTTCGTTTTTTTGATGTTGAGCTTCAGACCATATTTCGCACTCTCCTCTTTCACCCTCAATAAAAGGTTCTTTCATTCCTCCTCACTTTCTGCCATCAATGTTGTGTCATATCTGAGGTTGTTGATATTTCTTCCAGCAATCTTAATTCCGGCTAGGGATTCATCCAGCCCAGCCTTTCGCATGATGAGTTCTGCATATAAGTTAAATAAGCAGGGAGACAAAATACAGCCTTGTCGTACTCCTTTCCCAATTTTGAATCAATCAGTTGTTCCATATCCAGTTCTAACTGTAGCTTCTTGTCCCACGTAGAGATTTCTCAGGAGACAGATGAGGTGATCAGGCACTCCCATTTCTTTAAGAACTTGCCATAGTTTGCTGTGGTCGACACAGTCAAAGGCTTTTGCATAGTCAATGAAGCAGAAGTACAGTGGTGCCCCGCAAGACGAATGCCTCGCAAGACGGAAAACTCGCTAGACGAAAGGGTTTTCCGTTTTTTGAGCTGCTTCGCAAGACGAATTTCCCTATGGGCTTGCTTCGCAAGACGAAACGCAAACGTCTTGCAAGTTTGTTTCCTTTTCTTAACACCATTAATACAGTTGCGACTCGACTTCGAGGAGCAACTCATAGAACGCTGTGTGGTAGCCTTTTTTTGAGGTTTTTGAAGACTTTGGTGATTTTTGAAGCTTTTCCAAAACTTCTTTTAAACTTTTAAAACTTTTTTTGGGGGGGTTGGATTTTGGGTTGGGGTGTTTGGAATTCAAGGACTTGGTGTTGGGGAGGGGTTTGCAAGAATCTGGAAGCTTGTTTTTTTTTCCCCTGCATTTTTATGATTTCCTGTGACCATTGGGCCACTCTGCTGTTTTTTTAAAAAAAATTCTGGATTTGAATTTCTGTGTGGTGGGTGGCTGGGGGAACAGTTGAGGAGGGGTTTGCAAGAATCTGGAAGCTTGTGTGTTTTTTTTCTGCATTTTTATGATTTTCTGTGACCATTGGGCCACTCTGCTGTTTTTAAAAAAAAAATTCTGGATTTGAATTTCTGTGGGGTGGGTGTCTGGGGAACAGTTGAGGAGGGGTTCTTCAGCAAGAAGCAAAGAGTGGAAGAGGAACCTTCTTCGAGTTGTCCCCCAGAGTCTTAGAAAATGTACTGTACACTTTGTTGATTTTTAAATGTTTTTCTGTCATGTTTAGAAACTTAATTTATTGTTCCTTCAATTTTTGAAATGCTCTTTACAGTATGTGTGACTTTAAAGAGCACTTAATAAACTCTTGTTGTACCAAATTTGGCTTTGTTTGGACTTTTTTTGACCATAGGAACGCATTAATTGGATTTCAATGCATTCCTATGGGATTTCGTGCTTCGCAAGACGAAAAATTCGCTAGACGAAAAAACTCGCGGAACGAATTAATTTCGTCTTGCGAGGCACCACTGTAGATGTCTTTCTGGAACTCTCTAGCTTTCTCCATAATCCAGTGCATGTTTGCAATTTGGTCTCTGGTTCCTCTGCCTTTTCTAAAACCAGCTTGCACTTCTGGGAGTTCTCGATGCACATACTGCTTGAGCCTTCCTTGTAGAATTTTAAGCATAACCTTGCTAGCGTGTGAAATGGGTGCAATTGTGCAGTAGTTGGCGCATTCTTTGGCACTGCCCTTCTTTGGGATTGGGATGTAGATTGATCTTCTCCAATCCTCTGGCCACTACTGAGTTTTCCAAATTTGCTGGCATATTGAGTGTAGCACCTTAACAGCATCATCGTTTAAAATTTTAAATAGTTCAGCTGGAATACCATCACTTCCACTGGCCTTGTTATTTGCGGTGCTTTCTAAGGCCCATTTGACTTCACTCTCCAAGATGTCTGGCTCAAGGTCAGCAACCACACTACCTGGGGTGTACGAGCCATCCATATCTTTCTGGTATAATTCCTCTGTGTATTCTATACTGTATACTGCTCCGTAATCTTTCGATAAAGGGTTGTATATGTATTTAATAAATAATAATACATAGCTGTCAACTTTTCCCTTTTCTTGCGAGGAATCCTATTTGGAATAAGGGAATTTCCCTTAAAAAAAGGGAAACGTCGACAGCTATGATAATAACATGCAGTCCATTAATTAGTATGTATATTTGGATTGAATGAAACAATTAGAATACACCTTACATACATTTCCATTCTGCTTGTTCTGAATATCTCCTGATTTTTTTTATAAACCTAATGTAAATTATCCAAGCATCACAGGGTTCACCAAAAAATGTTTTTTTAAAATATAATCTCTGTTTATTCATGTAGAAAGTGGTTTAATGCCAGTGGTTCTAGAAATTCTGTTTAAATTGTTTGTTGTTCAAGTTTCGTTGGCTGTGTGCTGCAGGCATAATTAGAAAGTGGGTCAGATCTAGTTTCTGTGCTCTCATTGTTAACTTCCACTTTATTCCTAGAGGGATCACAACATCATTCTTATAATAATGCTTCTGGGAATATATATATAATTAGAGCTCTGGGCTTACTGTTATTGCCCTACCTGGAGAGTACCTAAGGCCGCCACATACAGAAAGCAATATTTTTTTTATAGTTATTTTTTATTTTAAAAGGGTTAAATTTGTACACATTCTTAGCATCCAGAACATTGTTGTAAAGGTTATTTATATAGTTATTGCAGAAGAGACTGCAATCCTGGGGAGGCTCCTGCTGGAGGAAAGGGAAGAAGTATATTTTCCACTTTCTACTGTACAAATGGGTCCCCCAACCCTCCAGAACAGCCTTTCAGAGAGCTGCACATGGAAGGAATAGTTGGGGGAAATTACCTCTCTCCCCCTGATGCTCCAGTTGTAGTGGAACTCCATGCATGGTTTGTCATTCCGCAGTATCTGATAGTACTCTGCCTAAAGTGATAAGTGAATATATCATCAGCATAATATTGATTAATCCTTTTGAAAATACACAAGCATAATAGGTGCCCATACTGTTGTTGATAACAAGGCCGTGCTTACATTGCCCATGCCATACTGTAAATCTAATTGGTTGCCACACTTACACCAGTCCTTTTTACAGGGTATATGCTGCATTTCTCATGCACTGGATAATATGAAAATCACATCTTTTTTCTTTCAAATGGAGGGCATTCCAATAAAAATGTCTATTTAATATAACATTTGAACCACATGATGTGTACTTTAATATCCCTCCAAATATTTCATTTCAAATGCTTGTTGTGTTTGAGGACAAACAAATATTATGGAATATTTGTTTTAATTTTATTGACTAAATACAAGCAAAAGCAAACATTCTAAATTAGATCACTCATCAGAAAAACGTTTTTAGAAAACCCACATTGCTATACACAGCTCTTAAAAGATACAGAACTGTAGTGTTGAACGTTTCTGAGAACAGAGAAAACTACTCTAAGAATTCTTCAGTTATAATACTAATTAATGTTGTGGTAAATGTTGGTTTATTTTCTAGATCAAAGTACTTCAGGACCTGTGCCACAGGAGAACACTTCACTATAGAGGTGAGTAAAGGCTTTCAATTCCAAAACTTACTGCTGCTTTCATTTTGGAACTAATAGGAGAAAAACAATCACATTTCCTAATTGAAATATGCGAAAGGAAATATCTTTAGATACAAGTATCGGATGCATTTTGTATCTAAACATATGGCATCTAGGAGTAGAAGAAATATCTGTGTCCCTGTGAAGGGTGGCGATTGGATCCAGCAGACTTCTCTTTCCACAGGTAAAGAAGGATGCGGTTATTTTCCCTCTCTTTAAAATAGATGGGAGGGGAAATGGTAAAAGTTCATTGCACAGTGGGAAGCTTTCATATCCTTTTGCCAGCGCAAGACCAGCAAGGCTTCGGAAGTGGCAGTTATTCCCTGTGCCTGCCCGACCTCCATAGAATTACCGTATTTTTTGCCCTATAGGGCGCACCTAGTTTTTTTGGGGGGGGGGAATAAAGAAAAAAAATTTGCCCCCCCAGGCGCGGGGCTGGGGCGGGGGAAGCTCGGGCTTCCCCCGACCCCAGCCCCCAGAACAGGCTGCTATCCGCAAGCCTTGGGAGCCTGGCAGGAATGCCCGCTGGTCTCCCCAGGCTTGCGGATATCTGCCCGGGGCGCGCTCCGCTGCGCTCCCCGGGTTTCGGGCTGCAGGCTGCTGTCCGCAAGCCCGGCGGGAAGTCACGCCGGGCTCCCAAGGCTTACGGAGAGCTGCCCGAAGCCTGGAGAGCGAGAGGGATCGGTGCGCACTGACCCCTCTCGCTCTCCAGGCTTCAGCGAAAGCCTGCATTCGCCCCATAGGACGCACACACATTTCCCCTTCATTTTTGGAGGCGGAAAAGTGTGTCCTATAGGTTGAAAAATACGGTACTTTAATAGCATAAGAAATACAATAACAAAGTTGATGGGCATGTTTGTGTGATTTCTGTTTTTACCAAAACTTTGTAAGTGCCCACTGAGTTTGCATAGGTACTTAAATAAGATCAAGAACATATGGGATGATATATGTCTAAATACATGTTCAATTTTAGCTGTAATACTTCTTTAATTGAAATATTGTTCTATCTACTTACAGTTTGAGAATCTAGTGGAAAGCGATGAGGTAAGTAGCTTTCTGATAAAGAAAGTTCATTAGAACAATTTTATGTGTAAAGTGGATCATTAGCCTTCTAAAGCATGTTTGAACCAAGGGTAACCTAAAAGGCTGTAAATTGGGAAAACATGGAAAGAAACAGTTTTTTAAACAGCCTCTTTATATAATGAGTTGATAATTACTTTGAAAACCATGTTCCCCGAGACTGTCTCTGAGCAGGGCTATATACAGACAAGCACAGCTTTGCCTAGCTCTTATGTTGCCAATATGTTATAGATGGAGTTACAGATCATTGAATCAAAATGTATAAAGACAGGGTTTTTTATCACAGATGGATCCATATATTTAATTTCTAATTTTTAAAAGGATGGTGGGGTTGCTTGTTAAAACAAATCTATCAGTTCTGTTTCAAAGATAGCATGATAATACAATTGTTATAGCCTTTAATATTGGGTATCTCTTGATAATTTTTAATAGGGTGAGAGTCCAGGAAGCAACCAGAGGTGGGTATTTATAACATATTTTCTCTCTCTCCCACCCACTATTATTTTCACCTTGTTTCATCATTCTGATCATCTACTTTTCCTATTAGTAGGGTGATTTTGCCTGAAATATTGGGTTCTTTATCAGAGTGCCTTTTGGCATTTTGAATGGACAGATTGGTGGGTGGGTAATTTTCCAGCTCTAAAAATGCATTGTTTCTTAAAATTATAAATAGTAACATATTGAATAGGTATAATATCAGCTAAATTAGGCAGTTTCAAAATTGTAATTATTTTTTTAAAATCACTACCCCTAAGAACCATGCATCCATATAAAGTAAATACAAAAGTTTGTCTCTTTTTGGGTGTGTTAAAATGTGTATGTTAACAGTGTATAATGCCTTTACTATGACTTAAAATAGCTACACATATTCCAATGAAATAAATTCCAAGCAAAGTTTTTAATTTGTCTTTGTTTGCAAGAGAGGTCTATCCTTAAAATCCAAATCAGTGTCTTTTTGATGTCTTCTTAAAAAATTTTTTGGGATAAGTCAATTGTAGTCCCAATTTCTCTAGTCTGAACAATTATCAATATATCAATATCTATTTTCTAATGTGTATTAGCTTAATCATGAAGTCCAGAGGGTGGCATTATGACAACAGGCCTTTTCTGCAGTGGCTTCCCATTTGTGGAATGTTCTCCCCAGGCATAGCTGTCAACTTTTCCCTTGAAACAAATCCTATTCGGAATAAGGGAATTTTCCTTTAAAAAAGGGGGAAAGTTGACAGCTATGCCCCAGGGAGGTTTCCCTAGCACCTTCATTATATATCTTTAGGTGCCAGGCAAAAACATTCCTTTTCAACCAGGCCTTTGGCTGATTAATATTCTACAGCCTTTTAAATGTGTTTGTGGGAGGAGGGAGGCTATTGTTTTGTTGTTTTTGTTTTAACTATTTATATGTGCTTTCACCCTGTATTTTTTATCTTATGATGAAGGGCAGTATATAAATCTAATAAATTATATAAATTCTAAAATCACCATAATTTATCATTTATTTTTTGTGAAGTAAGAATTGCTACTGTAATGTATAAAATTTAATGCATCCCTTTTCAAAATCTAAATAAAAATATGCAGACAAAAAGGGAAATAAATAATGTGCTGTATGTTTTATAAATATTGGAATATTTTAGTTAATCATGTAGGACAGCAGAAACATCTAGCGAAGGATAGATCTGGCCTTTGGAGACAGTCTCCATGACAGCTTGCTGAGGAAGCTGGTGGAGCAGAGTGCCAAGTGGGCAGCCTCTTTCTTCTTCCTTTTTCTCCAGACCTTTGACTGAAGAAGAAATTGCTGATCTAAGGGGAAGGCACTACAATTCCATTGCTGAAAAACAAAGAACATTAGATGATAGACTTCTGTCAGAGGTAGGCATAGTAACCATTCATGTATGCACAGTTGTCTATACCAATAACTGGCTGACAAAAGTGGAAGCTTGATATGGTGAATAGAGCAAGCTAGGTCTAACAACACCGTTAACAAGATGTGACGGAAGAAAAAATAAAGCTGTAGTACAGTAGTTAGAGTTCTCTCTGTGGAAACAGAAAAGTGCTGTGGAGAACAAAGCTAGTAGAAAAGCTTCCACTTGCGGGTAGTTTTGAATGTTAAAAGGAAATGCTAACAGATCATGCACAAATTACTCGTACATCCTATTTTCGTACTTCCAATCTAGCGGGGCTCTTTGAATGATCATATGTAAATGTTGGGTTCAAATTATGTATATGTCTGACTTCTGTTTATGATCAGTGGAATACCTTGAGCTAAAATTGCTTTTAAAGAAGATGTTAATTTATCTAGTTAATATGCTTAATTCAAATAACAATTGATAATGGAAGATAGTATGGAAGATAGTATGAAAATAGTTTCTTTTTTTAATCACACCAGTAAATTTTGTGTTTTGTATTTTCATGAATAACTTTTTCCTTTAAATTTAGTGCACTTATTTTCATAGGAAAGATAGCTAGGTTCTCTTTTGTTAATCCTTACTATTTTGTTCATATACAGTTAGCCAAACAAGAGGAGAAGTTAAGAATAGAAGAGGAGACTTTATATGCTGCGCAGCGTGAAGCAGCCAGGGCAGCAAAGCAGAGAAAGCTCTTGGAGGTGAGGGGAGAAGACCCCAAAATATATGTATCAGAGCCCCTGTTGTGTATCTTGCTCTTAGTTTCACATGCTATCTTAAACAGAACATTCCAAGTTTCTTTGCAGTAGTTTCTAATTCCTTTAATCTCTTGAGCAGAGTATCAAATATTTTATATAGGACATTAGTATACATATATTTAATATGTTTCTACTATTGAACCTGTAGTGAGTAAATAACAGTTGGCCAGTTACTTAAAACATTCTGAAGATACTAACTGCAGGCTAGTCAATCTTGCAGAAGATTGTAGGATCATTAATCCTTTCGTTATATTGACAATCTGTCAATTTTATGGAAGTAAGTGAAATTTTAAAATTATTCTAGATCATAACTGTCAGTATGAACTTACTGTGTCTGAGGACACTACAAACTGTAGATGGTGGTTGGAGAAAGCTTGGCAAAATCTAGGACATGAGTAGGCAAACTAAGACCTGGGGGCTGGATCTGGCCCAATCACCTTCTAAATCCGGCCCATGGACAGTCTGGGAATCAGCGTGTTTTTACATGAATAGAATGTATCCTTTTATTTAAAATGCATCTCTGGGTTATTTGTGGGGCCTTCCTGGTGTTTTTACATGAGTAGAATGTGTGCTTTTATTTAAAATGCATTTCTGAGTTATTTGTGGGGCATAGGAATTTGTTCTTTTTTCCCCCTTCAAAATATAGTCCGGCCCCCCACAAGGTCTGAAGGACAGTAGACTGGCCCCCTATTGAAAAAGTTTGCTGACTCCTGACTAGGATAAAGATCTTGTCCTGCAATACTAAGCTTGCTTTGAAAGGAAGTGAACCCATATGATAAATCTGAATGATAAATCGTTAGGGCAGGGATGGGTGCCCTTTTTTTTTCTTTCTTTTGAGAGATGTATTCCTTTTTGGGGTAATCGTTTGTGGCACATGTGCCAAATGTGTGTACAGGGTTGAAATCAGTTATGGTACAGGGACAGAGTATAAGTGGGTGGCATCCTCTTCTTTCTCTTTCCTCTCCTCTACTACCTAGCAGGGAGATACCACTCTTGCCAGAGGTCTGAACTGATCGCTTGCAGAGGGCTGAGGGTCACATGCAGGTCAAGGGCTGTAGGTTGCCCATCCTGGGTTAGAGCACCAGAGAGACTTGAGTTCAGTTACTCAACCTTGAAAGTCACTATCTCTTAGCACAGCTTGCCTCACTGGGCAGGAGGTGGGGGAAGAGCCATGTACATCCCCCTAGTGTCCTTGGAGGAGGGTAGGATACTAACACATAAGTAGATATCAGCGATAAGGATTCGCATTGATAATTTTTAGATAACTTTTAAAATATATAACTTTACCACTTTCTCCTTTTGTGGGGTGGGGATGCTTTCAGGGGTTTTGTTCTCCTTTGTTTTGTATGCTTTTTACTCCATACCTAGCAGCCATCATTCTTCAGAGAGAAGCATTATTGAAATTTTGTGCAAAGATGTTAATGATGGATTTTCTGGAATGCATCAGAAATAATGTCCTGTAGTGGGAGGAGAGAGGAGTCATAGAGGAATGGTTCCTCCCACTCATTCCACTGGGCAGGGATCCCCTGCATAAAATGAACTTATGGCAATAAGTCCAACATTCTATTTAGTGTTCAGAAATGTATTAACTATTAACAGTGTTAAGTAAGGAGTGCATGTGCCTTCCCTTTCTCCTTGTACCTTCAGCTTAAGAGGGAGACGTCTTATTAAGTAACAGTGTCCCATAACATCAAACTGGAAATTTGTGGTTTAAGCTCTGCCTCCAGAATCTCAATTTCCTGCTTTAACAAAAACACCTATGTCTCCAATCAAGCCAGATAAATAAGGGCAAGATGGAGCATTCAAGTTTCTTGGTCATTTATATTTCAGCAAACCAGTTTGTTGAAGCAGCAGAGCTAAGTCTGAACAAGGCCATATATAATATTAAGTCTTTTAACTTCTTGCCACATGATCTGTGTGAGGAAGTGGTTTCAATGCAATTAGGAACTCTAAAGCAAAGGTGAGTGGAATACCAGATCCTTATGGTGTATAAAAAATTAGTATTTTGGAATAATAATAATAAATCCTCGGTATTTATGTTGCATCCCAGGATTTCTCGCAGCCACTGAAAAGGTTTTTGGACTGTGTAATTTAATAACCAACTGCATCCAAATGTAAGCACTTAATTAGGATTTCATAAAAGACCACAGAACATCTTAAGGACGGCTTTGTCAGGTCACCCGAGTAGTTAAGACAATGACAATAGCTTGGTCTACATGCTTTAAGAAAAAGTGTAATTATTTTTATGGGAGGCAAAGTGTATTCTAGCATTTTATTTCTTCCAGCAATTGTGTCACACTTTTATTAAAATACGTTTTAAACAGCGCACTGATGTTTCTGTCACTGGTGTTGGTTGCATCAGAAATGACATCGTTAAATGCAGCTTCACGTACTGGACTGCTTCTAAATGTTAACCAACATCTGTATTTTAGCCGATGAAATGTCTTTGATTTCTTTTTTTCTACATTTGTTAAATTATGCATTTTATTTTATTATCCTTATGGTACTGTCCTTTCTAGAATGACTAGGAATGGATTCACTGCAACAAACAAATCTGAGAAGGGCTGTAGCTTGATGGCAGAACATGTACCATAGGCACTATCACTGTGGTTGCCCAGCTGGGAGACCCAAGGTGTCACACATGTGACATCACATGGCGCGCCAAGGCCTGATAGGGCCAGGTGCGCCGTGTGACTCACACATGTGCCCTCCCAAATATGTGCGGAACCCATGTACTTAGCATATAGAAGGAACCAGATTCGATTTCTGGCATCACTAGGCAGGTCTGGGTAGGGCTCATATCTGAAGCATTGGAGAGATGCTGACAGTCCCTGCTGACAATACTCAACCAGTGTTCTGATTCAATATAAGACAGCTTCCTGTGTGCCTAATTATTTATCCAGTCCTCCTTCATTCTTTAGCTGCTGCAAAATAGTCACAAGTGCCAATAAAAAGTTTAGAAGAACCAAGAACAGAATGAAATTTGTTTCTGTAAGTTAGGAAGCAGGATAAAATTGTGAGACATTTTCAACTTTATTGGAAGGTCATGGGATTTGCTCTATCTGATACTTGAGCACCCTCCAGTTTGTTTATATTTTTATGGAAAGGCAATATAGAAATGTTAGAGAAAAAAGCCTCATTCTGCTGTTAATGAGAAACAATCAGGCACTGTGCAGACAGGCATAATACTTGAGCATATAAACTGTCCTGTTGAGTAGGTGTGTTCATACACCTGGCTTAGACTAGAGAGTTTAAGCTAAGCTGTATTCTTTTGAGTTTATTTCTTGAAACGTATGTTCATTTTTTAACATTTCAGCAACAAAGACTGCGAAGAGCACAACTGGCAAGCAATGGAGACGGTTTAAGGTAAGATATTCAGTCAGGAGCCTTTAATATTAACTTGCCAGGGAATTTGAAATCCCTGTATAATTTTAATGCAGAAACAACTTCAATTTTGAATTCATTTGAAGCAGCAGGTGGATGTACCCTTGTTCCCTTTATAAATTTGTAGGTTGCAAATTCACAGAATGAAATGGGAAGAAATTAGCAAGGGTTAGGGTTAGCAGTATTGAACTGAAACCACAAAATCTCTCATAAACCTGTACCTTTTTAAAAATAGGATTGTGATTGGTAAGACTTTCATCCACACTCATAAACATCTGGAAATCAATTTCCTGCAGGAAGGGCTCCAATCAATTTCCTGCAGGAAGGCCCCCTCCCCCATGCAACTTCTCACACAGTCTCAGTCCTCCAACCCTCAGAAGCAAGGGGGCTACAGGGGAAGAAAAATAAGTTAAAATATTCTCCCACATCCCATTCCTCTAGTAGGAGTATTATTACACTGGCTCCAACCCATCACATACAAAATGTAGGAAACTATATGTTGGTGTTGTAAGCCAATCTTTGGTTCTGAACTTGGTCCTCCTTGATGTAACTTGTTTGTTCTTTCACAGCTCAGTGACAGAAGAGGACTTTGATTCCTACCTGAGGAATGTAAAACTACAATATGAAGCTTTTCGAAGCAGCAGTAAGTCTTTTTTGTGTGTGGATGTTCTTCAGCCACAGCTTTTATTGCTGCTATCAAGTAGCTCAAATATTGCAAAGGGTATTGAAAACCCTTACACATCTTGCATGTAGGTGCACACTATACATATGTCAATTACAGCAATTCAAAATTCACTTCCCTTTCTTAAAAAATTATTCAGCGTCCTAGAGGAACATCTACTGATCTGCAATAAGAACCCATTGTTTTCATATGCAGGCTTTATTTTAAAGTGTCAAGACATTTTGGTATATATATATCCTAGGGTTACTGTTGTAGATGTCTTTATTAAAGAGAATGTTGCTTGGCATGTGTGCAATCAAATACCACAATATATATTCTAGATAATAGTTGTGTGGCATTTTGCAGATTTTCATATTACTAAAGCTAAAAGCTGTTGGGCTGGTGTATTGTTTAATGGTGCTGGTATATTTGAAGTATAAATATGTGTTTTGCTCACAGGGCTGTCCTCAGATGCCACTGTTCTGACACCAAATACAGAGAGCAGTTGTGACTTGGTGACAAAAACCAAATCGACAAGTGGGAATGATGACAGTAATTCCTTAGATTTAGAATGGGAAGATGAAGAAGGTATTTGTTCTGTTCTATATTGATTTTGCTGACCTAAGCATATAAATAATACCAAAGGTCTGTTTGAACATCTAAGCAAATAGATACTGTTGGGATATTTAAAAAACACAGAGTGAGGTGAAATCCCATTTCAATATTCCTCTCAGAGTTGCATATCTTGCTTCCATAGTGTGGAAACTGGTAATTGGGAGATGAATATAACTTTTAAGTATTTGTTGGTTTGGTTAAGTGAAGTAGAATTGCCAGAATAAGCCAATGTTAACGTAAAAACCTGAATAAAACACAAATGCAGTCATATGAAATTAGTTACTCCCCAGTTTCCATTTATTCTTGCAATAGTGGTTACTTCTGTTGCAGGATGGGTTCTTTTTAGATTTAAACAGCAAATTGATGAGACCTTGACAGCCTTAACTACTTGCTTTTTTGCATTATGGAATTACTGTTTTTTACATTTATGGCAGATATAACTTTGCAAAACTAGCATAATAATGTTTTTGCTATTGAATGAGCTGATGGTTTTTGTTGTGTTAGTAGTAGTAATCATCTGCTGCTGCTGCAATGTCTTTGAAGGGAAGTGCTAATGGCCTGCTACTACTTCATTCTTTGCTATTCAGGTGCAATAATGTAGTGACTGTTTTTTCACTTCCCCTGTGCCTAAACAGAAACTTGTATTCTGCAAACTCGAAGGCAGTGTGTTTTTCAAAGATGCCTGTGATTTATAGTTCACAGAAAAGTGTTTAAATGTTTTACAGGGGCTAATTAAGATTTAAAATACAATATAGAGAAACAAGCTGGACATACCATATATTTCTTTGGCTGCTATTTCATTCAGGATGCATCTTTTGTTGAAAGTCAAATGCATGGTTGTTCCCAAATATAGTATACTGCTTTTAAAACCGTTTTTTAAAAAAAATGCAGGCATGAACAGAATGGTCCCATTGCGAGAACGCTCAAAAACTGAAGAAGACATTCTTCGAGCAGCCCTGAAATTTAGCAGCAAGAAAACTGGAAGTAACCCAACTTCTGCATCTGATGATTCTAATGGTTTGGAATGGGAGAATGATTTTGTTAGTGCTGAAATGGATGATAATGGCAACTCTGAGTATGCTGGCTTTGTAAACCCCGTTTTAGAACTGTCTGCATCAGACCAAAAAAAATCTGATACTGACCAACAGGACAGATAATGAAATTGTGTGGCCCTTGGCTATCTGACCAAATGGTGAAGTTGGGGGAAAACCTACAAATCTGTATTGTACACAATCCTCCAATCATTGCTGCTGCACAGCCTCCTTTAAAATAAGGAAGTTGCACAGTGACAGTACTTGGTGAACTGAGCTCCAGATTTCCTATAGAAAAAGGAAACTATGTCAGTTAAAAGAATGAAGAGTATGGTTTGCTATCTGAATTCAGAATTTTAAGTGCAATTTTATCATCTACCTTTGAAATTCTTTGAAAATACTTGAGTGATTCTGTTGTGTCTATTGTTGGGTTTTAGTACACAATTGTCTGCACTAAATGACACATCGCAGCTTGATGTTTTAATCAACGATCTTGTTCTAGAGCTGTATTTCTAATTTCTTTGAATCTAGGATGAGCAACCTGTTTCAGCCTGAGGGCTATCTTTCATGGGAAACATTTCAGGGGCCACATGGCAGTAGTGATTGAGCCAGAAGCAAAAATGGGCAGGGCTTAACATACCTTGTTCGGCAGTCTACATTCCAGCCATGCAAAAACCAGAATTTATTATGTGTGTGCTGAGACACACACAGTCTGTCCATCAAGGTAAGCAAGAGGCATTATCACACTTCAAGGATATATTGTTGCCAGGCCAAAGCACTGGAATAGGGCTGTTGAGAAATGTGGCCTTTGAGTCCCAAGAGCGAAATAGAGAAGTCTGAAGAGCCACATTCAGCTCACTTATGCATCCTTGCTTTAAGTATTGACATTGGCACAATAATTTATATAGGAAGTACTTAAAACCTTGATACTTGAATGTTAGAACAATTTTACAGGTATTATTTTTTTTCTGTTCAACTTGTTCTGATAAGAAGAAATGAAATTTTACATGTGAAATTGATCTTCAACCCTTCCCTTTTATTTATTGACTTCATGAAACTGACCAGATCCCTCCCAAGCACAATGCCTCTCAAACTTAAAAAGGTCTTTAAAAGTATCGTATAAGACATTATTGTTCTTGTGCAGTAATGAGCTAGTGAATATTGTTAGAAAACTTGGAAAGAATCTCTGTTTTAAACACTGGAAATGAAAAGGCTGGTTTTTGGAAGTAAAACTTTAGATTCTACAGAACCAAAGGTTCAGTTTCCCTACCAACTTGAAATGCCAAAAGATGCATATATTTTTAAGTTGTGCACAAATAATTTTGTTTCACTGTTGCTAACTTAATGAACACTGAGATTAATATTGGAAACTCGAAAATAGTGTTCTTTTGATATGGAAGATGGAAAGCATGACTAATTTCTGTGGCTGTATTAATGCAAATTAGTATTCCAGTCCAAGCTTACCTGGTATGTGAAAGTTCCATACATTTAACTAATTAAGATTAGTGACAAAAGCTGTAACTTAATCAAGTTTAATTATTGCTGGAAATATGTTGGAGGATGATGATGATGATATTGTCTAATATTTTATTTCTCTTAAAAATTGTCCTGTGGATTTTAATTCTAAAGAGAAGATCCTCAGTGCCAGTTAGAATGGTTCTGGCACCCATGACTCTGCACTGCAGAAAAGCCTCTATCTTCCTCTATCCTCTTTCCCCCCAGAAAAGAACACTGCTTTGAAATGGTACTTGCTCTTTAATAAACCACCACAGTACATGTCTGCCATGCGGATTTTAGGTTCATGGAAAATCTGAATATTGCAGAGTTCAGCAGTACAATCGGAGAGCAAGAGTACTTGCTTTACATGATTTCTTAATACTTCCTCCTTCTTGTAGGGATTTCTGCTTGCTAGCTTCCTAAATGGAGAGGTTGCTTTTGCAGATATTTACAAGCAGCTGCTACAAGGGCAAGGAAACACAAAGCAGCAGCACAGAAAATAATCGATCAACTTTAGTAGCAGCAGCTCTGTCTCCTGCTGAAGCTTTGCTACCAATGGCAGCACTCTTTGTTAAGGCCATAAACTGGGGGGGGGGGGGAAAGGACAGCATTTACTTTCCTTACTCTCAGATTCAATCTCAACATCTCTATCTCTACTGCCTTATAAGAGGCCTTCATTACTATTATGTTGTTATCAGTAATCTCTTTCTTTTGGCTCCTGCTCCTTTTACCTCTTCTTGCTCTCACTATCTTTGATTAATTTATAATACTTCATTACAGACTCCAAATGTTTGCCTTTTATACATTTTATTCACTGCCCCAATAATATGGATGTAAAGTGGTCAGTGGCAATAAATAATTATCAAATGTTTATATAGTTATTTTAACCCATATAGTATGCCAGGATCACTATAGATTGGTTTGTCTCTCCCTGTGCCTTTTATGTTTAACAAATATATTGGCCACATGTACATATGACATTAAACAGCTTATCCTTTCTTAATGTATTGCATTTCATAATTGGGAGCTTTGTTGCATATTATATTTTCATTTTGCAATGCCTGTAATATGCTTTATTATAAGATTTCTACACTTCAGATGTATATTTTTGGTTTTGACATGCGCTACTGTCTCTTCCTGACTGTTCATGTTATCAGTCCTTAAAGTTTTAAATTTCTCAAGCTGTGAATAAATTTTTACACACTTCAGAACTAGCCTGATACTACCTGTTCAAACTGGTATCTGAAAGTGAAGTGAGTTGAAATGCAAGAATTGCCTGCCCTGCTGAAAAATGAACACAGGCAAAGAGCTTGCTTTCTACCATAACTGAGGGATGTGCCATTCCCAGAGGTCATGGGATTAGGAGGCTTGCCTAGCTGATGGACAAGTTCCTTGCTTCTCCCAGTTCCCTGACAGGTCAGCAGAGCCACCCAATCAGTTGATTTTAATACTGCAAGGGTAAAGGCATGCATTAGCACATGCAGCTGACTGGCACCTGCAAACCCTTCTTTTGGCAGGAGTTGCATCTATACCTGCCCCACATCTCGCCTCATCAGGTATAGGGCTAGTGGGCATGGCTTGGGGAAAACAGACTTGCAGACCAAATGGGGACTCCTGCATGGTATATTGTATATGAGTTGGTGGCTTCCCCACCACTACCAGTGGGGTTGGGGTTGGTGGTGGAATTGGACTGGTAGAATTCTGAAGAGCAAAGGTGGGGCAAATTAATCTCTTCCTGCTATGCACTGTAGTGGGAGACTCCAATTTGGATGGCGATCAGCCTTATACTTCTGGAATTTATCTTATCAATGGCTACTAATCACAATTATTTTATACTTCTTCCAGTATCAAGAGGCAGCTGTTGCCCTCTCTTGCTCCTGCACTTTCTATAGACTTCTGATTGCTGGACTACATGAGGCTTGGGTCTGAATTCAGCAGGGTGGTTCTTTGGAACTTTCACATCAGTTCTCCACCTCTGAAGAAACAGAACCTGGTAAAATAACTTTTGATAGAATTCAGTCTAAAATTTAAAAACTTTGCACTTAGCTGTCTTATTACATAGCTAATGCCTACTGTGCCTCATTCCAATCTTTGTTCTGTTACTACTGAAAAGACTTGTGGCTTTGCTATCTATCACATATTGGCCCCACTGCCCTTGTCACGTTATGTCGGTATATTTAGCTCAAAGACACCACCCCTTGCCTTCCTGATATTCTTAAGCATACAGTGACCCATTGTGAAAACCTGTGATCACATTAACACCATACTGTATATTTAAAACACGCTTCCAGCACTTTAACAGTCATGGTTCCCCTTCCTAAAATAATTGTAAGGACCAGTTTGTCAAGGGTGCTGGGATTGTAGCTCTGTGGGAGATCTAACTACAGAATTGACACTTTTACATATGCCACATAATACCTGTTCAATATTTGTAAGAAATTGATCCTTGTGGCAGACCCTAACTTTGGAAATCCCTACCTGCTGACATCAGACAGGCACCTTTATTTCCCCCAGCACCCACTAAAAACATTTTTGTTTACACAAGCCTACCCAGATTTGTAGAATGTTGATGTGTCTTTAGTTTATTGATGATTTTAAAATTCTGGATGTTCTAAATATTTGTTTTTAACTGTTTTTACCTACAATTTTATTGTCCTAGCCTTTTTGTAAACTGCTTTGAGATGGTTGTTTTTTGCGATCAAGCAGTGTATAAACTTTATTAAATAAACACTCTGCACCCTTAAACTACAGTTCCCAGGATTCTTGGGGGAAGCCATGACTGTTAAAGCGACAGAAGAGTGCTTTAAATGCTTGGTATACATGTTTCTTCATTTTTAACGCTGTAACCAGTTTTTTCCCTGAGGGCTGAACTTGATTTTCAATTTGGCTGCAATCCTGCATAAAGCTTGGCAACATAAATCCCATTTTAAGCAGCCTAACTTTGGATGACTGCAGCCTGAATCTTTAATAATGCTATTAATTGCATTTTATCCTACCCTTAAGTAGCTAAGGGTAATGTAGGCAGTTCTCTGCTGAACCACCTCTTATCCTTGCAATACCCTGTGATGAGTTAGGCTGAGAGACTGTGATTATATTGTGTTTATTTAGTAAACTTCTTAGTTGCTTGTTACACAGAAGGCCTCCCAAGAGACTTGTAACATACTTTAAGCATAAGTTAAAAAAATATTTTACAAGCACAGTCGCACAGAAATACGTTCAGATCATAAGCAATACACAAAACAACCCCCTGCTCCACTCATAACAGCAGCATAAAGCTCTAGCAGCATGCTAATAGCAACCACTGTCCATCAAAAGCCTGGAAAAGATGTATTTTTTAGTCAAGGTCAGCAAAGGCACCAAGTGGACCTCATTAATAAGGGGAACCAAACCTGATTAGACCAGGTCTACCCCAGTGTTCCTCTTGGTTAAATGCAAATTTGAAGTCACCTCCTCTGCCGCAATCCTAATCTCACAATCTAACAGATACTAGCACAAGAGAACACAGCATGGTGTCCAAATGGAATCAAAATAGTTGCACTACAGTATTAATGCTAGCATGCATCCGTTTATGTGCTTTCACAACTTGCAGCAATTTCAAATCAACAGCTGTTCAGAAACAGAGCAGGAAGCATGTACAGGTCAGGCTATGACATATAAAAGAGGCCTTTAGATATTGCATACATCATTATGTTCTCCAAGTTTCTTTTGCTTTTGGGCAGGCTTGCAGTGTCGTATTTAAACAAAACATTACCCAGTTTAATAAGGAAAGCAACTGGTTCCAGTTTTATATTGTTGGGTGATAGTTAGCCATCCATCCAAGATAACAGTGGTATTACAAGGTCAGAATTTTCTTTTTGCCTTCAGGTAGTCTTTAGAGCAGAGGTGGCTAACCTGTGGCCTGTGGCAGCTTTCGGACTAAAACTCCCATTATCCCATGATCATTGTGCATGCTGGCTGGAGCTGACAGCTGGAATTGTTGGGAGTCCTGCAGTATCTGGAAGGCTGCAGGTCAGCCACTGCTGAAAAGTATTGAAAGCCTGCATTGTTACTGCCAAGTCCTCTGGCTGTATGATAGATTATCATTTACCTGTTTTAAGCCAGAGGTGGGAAACTGGATCCCAATGGTGGGCCAGATCCTTACCTTCCCCACCCCCAGGAGCCAATTTTGATAGAGGATGCCCTGTCAATCACAATGACAGCAGGTAACCTGTTTTCCTTTGCCCATGCAGTTTGAAGTCAAACCATGCAGGCAAAGGAATTGTGTCACAGACTGGTGGCTCCTCACCAGTATTTTAAGCAATGATGCCAAAATATCTGTAAAGTGGCAGCTTACAAAGAACAATGCTAACCTATTCATAGTGTAGGCATATATTGGACATATGTGAAGGATACCATTCAACTGCAATAGTACATAGGGCAAAAAAACAACAACATTGAATTTGTAACATTGAAACTAGTAAGTCCATTTCTCATGGAGGGCGTTTCCCATTTCTTCCGTCTCATCTATCTCAACTGGAGATTCAGCACATGAAAAGCCACATTCAGGTATAGGTTCCCGCCAAGACAAGTTTTTTGGCTGCAACATGGGTGTTTTTGATAATTCAAAGCGGATGTCAAAATACTTATCTGACTGTCCTTCTTCTTTTTCCAATAGCATTTGGTACTCTCCAAAGCAAACCATGCATGTCTCTTGCAATTCAACCTTATTCAGGTAAGCCAGTTCAGCGAGATCCACAAACAGCTTTGTCTTCTTGCTCAAATTCTTAATCTCAAAACCCAGCTTTGAGCTGTTGAAGTGTCTGAAACACTGCAGAGCAAACTGAATACGTGAGGCCCGTCCATCTACAAAGTTAAAGCGGCAGACCTGACCATCTCTTCCAAACTTCACTAGGTCATCTACTTTCACGTGATGTGGCTGGCAAAAGTGGAAGGCTTGGAATACATTCTTTTCCATTTGACTTGGATGATAGACTTTGATATGGAGACAGGTCACAGTCTCTTCTGTATCTTCAGTTTCAAAGCTGGCCATGGCAGTACTGGTTCTCAGAAAAACCCTGGAAGAAAACATCAACCACAACTTCACACTATTTTAAAAAAACAAACAACCAGAAAGAAAAAACAAGCTACAGTCAGAAAAATGTGTGTCAGCTCCTCTCCCAGGGCAACAGGCAGATGAGCCAGCTACCTTCCCCTCTCATGGATCTGCCTGGCACCATCTTACCTGCATATGCTCCCCCATCCAATTTTCTTTCACAATGCTAGAATTGAGCATCCACTGACCGGGAATCGAACCCAGGCCGTGACAGTGAGAGCACCAAATCCTAACCACTAGACCACCAGGGATAGTTCTGTTACCTCCAGTATCCAATCAGTATACTTCCAAATGCCAGTTTCTAGGGTACAACGACAGGAGAGGACTTTTCCTTGTGATGGCACATTCAGGACAGATAAAAGAAAAAACCTCACACAGCATGTAACTAAACTATGGCATTTACTACTACAAAATGTGACCATAGCCACCTACTTGGACTGCTTTCAAAGGGGATTAGAAAAATTCCTGGAGGATGAAGCTGCCAATGGCTATCAAAGATAATAATGGAATCACAGAATTGAAGAGTTGGAAGGGGCCCTGAGGATTATCTAGTCAAACCCCCTGCAATGCTGGAAAATGCAGCTGTCCCATATGGGGATTACATCTGCAACCTTGGCATTATCAGCACCACGCTCTAACCAACTGGGCTATCTAGGCTTTGTTAAAGACGTGTTCCTTGACCGGAAATCAAACCTGGGCCCTGGCCGTGAGAGCACCAAATCCTAACCACTAGACCACCAGGGATAGTTCTATTACCTTCAATATTTTAGTACTGTAGTATATTTCTGAATACCATTTTCTAGGGTACAACAACAGGAGTTGTTGCATTTGTGTCCTGTTTGTGAGCTTCCCATAGGCATCTAGTTGACCACTGTAGGAACAGAATGCTGTAATAGATGGGTTTTTGGCCTTATGCTGTTGCGCTCTACTTAGGCTCCTAGAAATCCTAGTAAAGCTAGCTACAAAAGGAGGGACAATTCAAAATTTGGGTTGGTGACAGAAATCCCTACTGAATTCAACTTACTCCAACTTAAAACCACACTGGACTGTAGCTGTTCACTTTACCCAAACATCTAGCTACATCCTTGATAGCACCCACATTGTTCATGGTTCTCTCTGGCTTCTCACTGGAAGGCACTCCAGAAATAACAGTTGTTTCTATACACTCCATACTTAGACAAAGCCCACAAGTCTGTTCCTCCACCTGAAGAGCTCTTAACAGCCTCCCTGCATAGCTACACCCCTTCTAAGCTCATACAGAAGCAAACTTTTTGACCACAGTAGTTTCAACATCAGCTTTTCTCTTACCCAAGCTGAAGAGTTCTGGTGCACTCAAAGGCTTGCTTGTATTTTTGTGACGTTTTGTTTTTGCCTGAATACCAAGCCAGCTTTTTTTATCAAACATATATACACATACCCCTGCCCTTTGCTAAACTTCGTTGTGCCATTTCAGCCTGTTGAAGGCTTCTGGTGACCTCGAAGTCCTGCTTATTATTTTGCAGCAAGCTGCTTGGTCATAATCAAGGTGGTGTTGGAACTGTTCAAAATAAAAAGGCCACTTTAAGCCTTACTCCCAAAAATACACTAATACAGTACAACCTCCCTCTTCCTTAGCTCACCCTGCGAGAAAGGGGTGCTTGTTGATCTGGCAAGTGGAACCAAATAAACTAGAAAATAACGCCCCAAGAGGAATGTGGCTGTTTCCCCCCTCCTATTATCTCCCTGCTTTGGTCGAGGTCTGGCTTGCAGACGGTGCCATCCTCGCCGAAAGCAGTTGCACCAACTAGCCCGATCACTTGTGTAACTGAACGGGAGGCCCGTCCCACAAGGCCTCGCCGATTGGTAAGCCAAGTGCCTGGCTGGAATCACTTTCAGTTTCACTTGCGCTTCCGGCTGGGCACGAAAGCGCAAAGCAAGCGAGAGGTCCGAGCCCAGGCAGCGGGCGCCACGTCTTGGCGCAAACCGAGCGTTGGGATTTCCCCGGCCTCCTTTGCCTTGAAAACGCCAGTAGCCGGAGAGCAAGGTGAGCCACCGTTGTCTCCCGTATTGTTATACTAATTAAAAGTGTAACCTCGCCCTACGCCCTTCCACATCCGATTGCTTCCCAACCCCCTTTTTCTTGCTTTTTTGCTGCAGTTGGAAAACAAGCTCAGATTAAAATCTTGCGATTCCTGCCCCTTCTCTCTCTCTCTCTCTCTCTCTCTCTCTCACACACACACACACACACACACACACACTGTTACGTTTACCTGCGCCAAGCAATTTCAGAAGGCAGCAAGATTGGGCGAGCTTGGAGTAGAGGAGCAGAGAAAAGGGAGTCCCCTTGTGATCAGATTGCTTTCGCATCTCCTTTGGAGAACATGCCCCTTCCTCCCGTCCTTCCGGCCCCGAAAGAGGGGAGGGGGCGCGAGGGAAGCGAGATGACGAGCACCAGTTGAGTTGCTATCTCGACGTAGCAGCTCAGCTCTGCCCGGGGATTTCCTCCTTTCCCTGCGAGGAGGGGGTGGAGAGCGGGACGTTAGACGCCCGAGTCAAAAATGCGTGTGTGCAGGGATGATTAGAAACAGTTTTGGCTGCCATCTGGTGTGCAGGCTCCTCTCTTGAAGTCGTGACAGTTGGTAACGTTAAAGATAACTGCCAAGAGCAGTGGTGGTTCCCAGACTTTTCCAGGCTGCTACACCCCCACACTGGCTCCATGAACTCATCCCCGGCGACCCCTCTAAAATGCATTATTCAGAATATCCTCCACAGATAGATAAGTGTATTTAAGAAGTGGGGATTCCTGCAAACGTTTTTGCCTGCTAAAAGGTGAGGAGCTGCAGGTCCTTACAAACAAAGCCCCCACTAATGTTGGCATAGCTCCAGCATACAAGTTTTCGAGTGCGTTTTTAAAACCCATTTTTTTGGAACTGCCTTTTCTTAAACAAGGTCTGCATTACATCCATATTAGGACATTTGACACTTAGAAAAGCTTCACCCATCATAGTGTAACATGGGAGAAAAATAGGCACAGCCTTCCTTACCTGCCTTGCTTTAGCAGAAGTAACAGGAGTCTACAGTTTCTTGAAGGAATTGCTGGTCCAGGGATGGGAAAACTCTGGCCTCCTGATGTTGTTGGGCTCTCAGTTCCCCTCAGTCTCAGCTAACACAGTCTGGGATGACGGCAGTTGTAGTCCAACAACATATGGAGGGCCATAGTTTCCTCATTGCCATGCTAGTCAATCATTATTTTGAATAGCCAGTGAAGCTCACCTTTGTCACATGCAGGAGGGAAGATGTTACAGAGGAGCAGTGGGTGTTGGGCGCGTACGTACAGCAGTTCTATCACCTGACATCATGTAGAAAGACTTTTCTGTATTTCTGACAGGTTTTTTTTATTATTATTCCTACAATAAAGTAGTGTAGGGACTTTCCCTGCTGTAAAATGACATTGTTACCACTAGCAAACTGGTGACCGTTTTGGGGATCCCTGATGCACTTGTTTATGACTACTTTGGTTCACTCTTGCATTCACAAAATCATTCCAATTAAACACATTTTGGAGATTTATCGTTCATTGGAAAATAGCTGCTCACCTTCCACATCTCTATCTCTCATTAGGGACACCAGAGTTTTATTCACCACACTTGTTAAGGCTGTTATTATTATTGTCATTTATTATATATCAATCACTTCTAATGTGTACTGTTATATGTGGCTTCATCTGCAGGATTTCCTTTCTACATTTCCTTTTTTTAAAAAACTTTCTATTAGAGAAGTAGCTTGTAGCCTTTTCTCCAGAGTTTTAAATCCATGATTCTGAGACAGAGCAGGGGTCAGCAACCTTTTTTCAGCCATGGGCCGGTCCCCTGTCCCTCAGACCATATGGGGGGCCGGACTATATTTTGGGGGGGAAACGAACGAATTCCTATGCCCCCAAAATAACCCAGAGATGCATTTTAAATAAAAGCACACATTCTGCTCATATAAAACACCAGGCAGGCCCCACAAATAACCCAGAGATGCATTTTAAATAAAAGGACACATTCTACTCATGCAAAAACATGCTGATTCCTGGACCATCCGTGGGCTGGATTGAGAAGGTGATTGGGCCACATCCGGCCCCCGGGCGTTAGGTTGCCTACCCCTGAGATAGAGCCTTCTACTCCCTCTCCCATAATGCCTTGCACCAGCCATGAGACTAGCTATGTACAGTGGTACCTCTGGATACGAAGGGGATCCGTTCCGGAGCCCCGTTCGCATCCAGAAGCGAACACAACCTGTTTTTGCGCGGGTCACGATTCGCCGCTTCCACGCATGCACGTGATGTCATTTTGACCGCCTGCGCATGCGCGAGAGGCAAAACCCGGAAGTAACGCGTTCCGTTACTTCCGGGTCGCCGCGGAGCGCAACCCGAAAGCACTCAACCTGAAGCAACTTCAACCTGAGGTATGACTGTATAACTAAGCTGTGTTGCAAAATGTTGCAGAGGCCTCTGGACATTCCTTTCTTGAGCAATCTTTGTCAGTCTTTCTGTGAACTTCCTGCAAACTGAATTTCACATCTTCTTTCACCTTACTTCCTCATTAAAGCATCAGACTTACAAGAAATTAGTGCTTTTTCAGGTAAGGCGGAAACATACTCTTTCTGAAGGATGTCTTTATTACTTTATTGTTGGTTTCTATAGAGCTAAGGAAGCCGCTATCAATGTGTATCTTTCAAGGAGACATTGCTTTATTACTCAGAGAACCTTGGGTTTATTACCCAATACACACACAAATAACCCGATGTGTGGGAATTCTTGTACCTCAGTCCTAACAGACTTTCTTGGAATTTAACAACACTGATGATTTGCAGATACATTTGCTTAACAGGAAGGGCCATAATAAATTCATTAAACACATGTTTTTAGAAAAACATCCGTACTTCAACTTCTGGCATCTCCAGGTAGGGCAGAGGAAGACTCCTGTGTGAGTCTTTGCTTTGCTGTGCAGTGTAGACCAGGAACAGGAAACCTCAGCCCTGAGGGCCACCTGCGGCCCTCCAGTTCTCTCTACCTGGTCCTCAGGACTCTCCCCAGCCTACTCCCTCTCTCCAGGCCACACCCCTTGTTGGTCCTGTTCCCCCCCACTTCTCAAGTGCCTTTGCCTGGCTGGAATTTGCCCTCCCATTTTCTGGGATGGAGAAATGTTGTGGAGCCAGGGAGTTTGGGATGAAACCTATTCAATTATTTTTAAAACTTAAATATCACTTTTCATTTATAAACTTTGCATAAACCTCAAAGCAATTCTCAATATATACACATAAAACTATTACAATCATTAAGTAACAACAATGAAACATCCATCATATAATTTCCGCAACTACAGCAACCAGAAGAAGAAAAAAGATGTTTGCTGTCTTATTATGTTTTATATGTGCTGGAAGCTGCTCAGAGTGGCTGGGAAAACCCAGCCAGTTGGTTGGGGTATAAATAATAAAAGTATTGTTGTTGTTTTAGTAGTAGTAGTAGTAGTAGTTGTTGTTGTTGTTGTTATGTTCCAGACACCAAACTGTTTTTGCACTTGCTCTGCAAACCGGATTCAACAGGTGCAAACCATAGTTTACCAGTCTGGACAAAGCAGCAAACATTAGTTTGTCTGAAACCAGGATTAGAAGAAAGAAATTGTCACATGCCCAGGGCTCATCACTGTGTGGTTTACAGGAATCCAGTGCTCCTGAATTTTTTGAACAGACAAGTTCTATGAAAAAGGAATAGGTGAATGGAAAGGTTAAGGCAATAAATACACTGGAAAGATGTTTTTATCATACAGTGTTTAAAATAAATATTTGGCACAATACAGCCAAAATTAATCACTTTTACAGCAGTTTGATTCTTTGGAATGAAATCAATACGTATAAATGTGTCCTGTTACATTTAATGTGCTTGGAAAATGATTAATTTTGTCTCGAATGTTCTCCACTGATTTCCAGAAAATCCATTTAAAATCTGCATATGTTTGAAATGCACATGAAGTTCTGTTCACAAGCAAAATATTGGAAGTGAAAAGAAGAACAAGGTTTGGGAGGAAATGGGGGAATCTGAAGAGTGGAAACTGATCACATGTTTCAATTTACCAAGTATGGAAACTATAGTTAAACTGAAAGAAGCATATAAAAATTTGATCTGGGAAGTCTTGTTTTCTCTAAGGGGCAGATATATATCCACATCCAAATAATAAAAAGACACTATTTTCTTTTCAAAGATCCATCCTATCACTCTTTAGTTTAGACAAACTCTCCATAGGTCTTCAAGAAAGTCTATTCCAGTGTATTTGCTTCCCAGTCTCTAGATGGCAATGTTGCCTCAGACATACTCACCACTGATGCTTTGTCCATAGATGCTTTGTTTGTTTGTTCTTCTGAAGGACTCAGTCCTTCCTTAATAAGAAACTGATCCTGCCAGGATTTCTGCACGTGACTGCTTTTGTACACAAGAGTAATCTCACCAAGCTCGACACAAGTCCTCGCGTGCATCTGTTTTGACAAGATCAGGGTTGAAAGTTCTGGACTGACAACCATGGAGACTAAATCCTCTGTTCACCCAGAGAGCAGGTGCAGAGGCAGCAACGGCAGATGCAACACAAGCTTCCTCTTCTTCATTCTCCAGCAAACCCAACAGTGAGATTGTGGCTGTAATTGTTTTTGAGAATCAGAAAGTACGACAATTGAGGAATTATACCCAGGAGAGAGAAAAAGTGAAGAATGAGTGACAAGCGAGGTGTTCTGTTGGAAACAATGCAGAATAATGTGAGATGTGGAAGGAAAGCTTTAGCAAGGGATCAAGGATAATAATCTAAAATCATCACATCAGTGATTCAAAATCAATGAGAAATAGAAAAGAAATTATATAGGAAGGAGCGAAATTCTGATTCCAGGTCAGCAGATCTCATAAAATAGAAATATTGAAAAGCATTTTAGTTGCATGTTGTTTTAAAAAGTGATTTACTGCAGCCCAGGTCTCTGTGTTTGAAATAAGTTCAGTTTGGCTTATAGGAGTGTGCATGGGAGTGCAAGATTTGTGTGAAAAGTTTAGGCACCTGCTAGAAAGGAGCTCACACCCACTTTACTCTTCCCCAGTAGTTTCAAGTCAGTGCAGCACATCAGCTAAGCAAAAGTCATCATAGTCATTGCTTTCTCTTTAACCACAGTCTATAGCCAAGACCAAATCTTGGTGAATGTGATGCCATGAATCCTGTACCCAAAGTGTTATTTTATTTCATTTCTCAGATTAAGTTCAGACCTGCGTCTGCCACTTTTAGCACACTGTTGCCTCAAATAATTGAGAAGTAACCTAGAAGCGTTTGTTTGTTTGTTTGTTTGTTTGCTTGCTTGCTTGCTTGCTTGCTAAAAATCTTTATAAATCACTTAATATTTGAAACATCTTCAAGTGGTGGGCTATGTAAACAGTATCATTAAAACAAAAATGCAACATATAAATAGTAAAACTGTAAATAACAACGGGGTCCAGAACTTCATAGGAACATAAGGAGCTGCCTTATATCGTTAAACTATTGGTCCATCTAGCTCAGTATTGTACCGGTGGTATTCATTAACTGGTAGTGGCCAGCGGCTCTCCAAGGTTTTTGACAGGGGTCTTCCTCAGCCGTGTGTGGAGATGCCAGAGATTAAAGCTTCTTCTTTGCATAAATGCTCTGCTCCATCACAGACTTACAACCATTCAGTGCTGGTTTTGCTGGATATTTGCTGCCATATGGCTAGGAAGAAAGCTGTGATGGACACCTCAAGAGGTCCCTCTGCTAGCTCTACTTGTCAACAAATCCCCATAGGCCATCAGTTTTCATAGAATTGTAGAGCTGGAAAGTACCCCAAGGGTGATCTAGTCTGCAATGCAGGAATCTTTTGCTGAACATGGGCCTTCAATCCATGGCCCTGAGATTAAGAGTCTCTACCAACTGAGCTTCCCCAGTTTTGTAGCTGGCTGTTCTATGAAATCAGTATAACCGTCCTTGGGAATTGTATCTTGGTGAGAGTTGCAGTTCCTTTTGCAATGGGAGTGAAGGAACAGAAATAAGAGAATCAGGGTGGTCATGAAGACAGAGCAGGGCTTCAGCGCAAGAGATTTGCCTTCAGAAGCTCTCAAGAATGAATCCATCAAGCTGTTGTTGCTCCTCAGCATTGGTTCAAGAGCTTTTCCCTACATGCCCTTCACGGATTTCCCAAAAGTGTCTGGTTGGTCATTGCGCAGAAGAAGTGGCTCTCTGCATTGGGAGTTAGGCCTTCTTTAGCAATAAATAGCAGCTGGGGGGAGAAGGAATTGGGTGGTGCATTGTATGAAAGCCCTTGCCCCTCAAAAAGACACTGTTTTTTCTTGACCTGTTAGATTCACGTAGTGAGAGAGGCAAAGCCTTCAAAAAGTTCTGCAGAAGGAGCAGCCGAGAAGGAGAACCCAAAGGCTGGAAAGAACTAAAGCAAACATTCTTGAGTTTTCGGGTGAGGGAATATTGCAGGCCCCTTCCAAACGGTATTTTTGTGCCAAAAACGTTGGCAAGCACAGCCCTAAAGTAGTGGTGAATGCACAGCAACAGCACTCCACTCTACTGTAGAAAAAGGGTTCAGAAAGAGTAAAAGCCAGAGCCAACTGAAAAGTCTAGGGAGAATTCAAGAGGGCTCTTCACCCGAACATCCTTTTCCCAGCAGAGTGCCAGGAGCTCTTTAATGGCCACAGCTGCTCTTGAGGACTACAAAGGCTAATAACCGTATCATGAAATGAGTCATAAACAACACACGGTGGTTGTCACAGTCATGTCCTTCAGCAACGCATCTCATCTGGAGAGACCTCCGGTAGATTGATTCCCTTTATACCCCAATGCAATGGTTTGGCACACTCACACATCTAATTCCCAATACCACGTTACGTGAGTTCGTGTTGAGTGCATGTGGGTTTGTTGGTTTATTTGTAAAGGACTTTAATAATATTCAATATGCTGTTTTAATAGAGGCAGACTGGAATTCAGAATAGGTGTCCCCACATTCCTGATTACATTGTACCTTCTTACAGGACATTGGCATCAGCATTTTAAAGAGTCAGTCCTTTTTTAGTCCACTTAGCTCACTGAACAGGTGGGAAAGGGTTGGGTTAGTCCAGGGTTTCCCAAACTTGGGTCTCTAGCTGTTTTGGGACTACAACTCCCATCATCCCTAGCTAGCAAGGCCAGTGGTGAGGGGTGATGGGAATTGTAGTCCAAAAACAGCTGGTGACCCAAGTTTGGGAAACCTTGGGTTAGTCCATCCCTCTTCCACCAGGCCACTTGGCTGAAGGCCCATTTTTAACTAACCTGCTTAGAACCTAGCATCCTGCATTTCTGTGCTAGTTGTGAAGCACAGGGCTTCATTTCGTCTGCAGTCAGCATGGAAACGCAGGCTACTAATCTTATAGCAGACCCGCGGCGGGGAGGAGGGGTTGCTTGGTTGTTTGCAGGCTAGTAACTTTTGTGAACTTATTTACAAGGCTGATTCTGGGAAATCTTTGGAAAGTGTATTTATGTGGATCGAAGTTTTCATAAGTCTTGTTTATTATAAAGTGTTTTTTAAAAAACAACAAAAGTCTGTCTTTATGGGCATGAGTAGCTAAAAATGCCACATGATTCAGCCCAAAGAGGATTTTCACATTGCACAGCTTGAAAAGCTACCATTTTATTTATTTACGTTTGTTTCAACAAAGGCACCTTTTATAAGTCTTGGACTCCTTAATATTCACTCAGTTTAATTACACCCTTTTATTTTGTGCCCACTTTAATCTGTGAAGTATTAGTGTACAAGTGTGTCCACCAACAAAAAGGTTACACTGTGGAATGGAGTGTTGTTCAGGATGCCAGCCAGCCAGTTATTGCCTTTTGGGGAAGCCTCCATTCCATTTTCTCTTCATCTGATTTTCCATTCTGTGATTATTTAACCTCAGTCCTCATTCAGTTTTTTTGTGGGGAGTGGTCCCCTAAACTTTTTGTTTCCCCTCCACACTAACTTTTATTATATTTTTGCAAGCCTTTTTGAGTCTTCCAAAGCTATTTTGTCTATATAAGGATTGGTACTCAGTGAATTAAGGTCACTGCTAGTATAGAGGATGCTACCCATCAAAAGCTGTATTCTGTATACAGCAGAAGATGACTTTTATTTATGCATGTTATGATTTTTCGACCAGTGTGATGTTAAACAATCTATTCCCTTTCAATTATTGCTTTCCAAACAATGTAAATGCTAAATGCAATCCACATTTACTCAAAATTTGTTTGGTACAATTTATGAGTTGGTGGTTAGAAACGATATAGGAAGTGTAGCATCATCTTTGTCTCATGAGTGGTGTGACCTTGCTTGGAGCGGTGGGGTAGTTTCTGTCCTCTTATAAAAACCCTTCCTCATGAAAAAACAGTGGGCTTTCACAACACAGAAGGGGCATTGGTTTATAGGCCTGCGCATGGTCTCACAAGAGAACACTGTTCAATAGGCTTCAAAGCAATTCAGCTATGGCATAGCTGTGGCTGGGCCACATGTAATATAGCCTGTAGCTCTTTAAAGAGGATTAGCTTCAGATCAGGAGGAGTATTCATCGCTGGGTTTCATGTAAAGCAGAATATGCTAATGAAATGGAAATGTCTACAGCAAACATTGCATGATAACATAAACCCTCGAAACTGAGCTTAGCGCCTTGATAGTCCACTCTCAGAGACAAATTTCTTTATCTTCATGTTAATCAGATGGGCAGGGGTGGGTGGGAGGGAGAGCATGATTTTACCACAGTAAACCCTCTGAGGTAATTTATAGTTTCTCCACCACCAGCAGCATATTAAGCCAAGCTAAATTCAGTGGTGCTTTGCTTCTCCCTCCCCCCCATTTTGTATATGGTTTACTTAAAGTAACTAACAGGCACCCTAAGATGAATTGATTCACCATGAAAAGCTATTTTTGTTTTTATTTTTACATTCTTGAAAGAATGCTATAATTTAAATCGGCTGGAGAACCTGTGGCCTTCCAGAGGTTGATGGACTCGCACTCCCATCAGCCCCAACCAGCATGGACAATGGTCAAGGATGATGGGAGTTGTAGTCCAGCAATATCTGGAGGACCACCAGTTTTCCACCCCTGGTGCAACATGACAAAGAAATGGAGAATCAAGGTTTCTTCAGATGAATGGACAGGATTAAATGCAGTGCTAAAATTAAAATGGCATTGGTTGTGATCTAATGCTAATAATGGGTGGGATTCAACTATTGTTATTGTTATTGTTATTTATATACCATCCTTCATCAAGAGATCCCAGAATAAAATACAATTATTTACACAACTACATAATTAGACCAAAGCAACTAATCCGGCTAGCAGAAAACTGCAGAAGAGCTTCTCCTAGCATAGCAGGGCTCCCCTCCTCCCCTGCATGAATAGGATGCCCCTGTTCTAGATTGGGGGCAGGAGAGGAGAAGGTTGGTGGTTTTGTCTGGCTAGCTGGAATACTTACACTGATTGAACCATTGCCATAGCACCATGTTAAAATCCAATAATAATAATGAGCTTAGATCTATTTAAAGCGTTTTTTCCCACCACTCTGTTTTTACTGTTCTTAATTACTGTTACCATGATTTCTTCTTAACTGTAACCCATGCTCAACCCATGGTCAGGTCTGAGCAGCATTTGGTCCCAGGCCAAACCTAGCATGGCTTGTTCCCTCATCCCCAAGTGATCATCTTCCAGGAGAATGGCCCTTGGTGGCAAGACAGGGTTGTGTGGGCCACCAAAGAAATGTCCAGATTATTCTAGATGTTGCATTCTAAATGCAAATGTGGCCTGTGTTTCTAGCTCCACTCT